ATTGATTTAGTTAAATTTTTGATTAGTTTTGTGGAGAATTTAAAAGTATACGGTTGTGTGTCATCTTTCTTTATCTTTCAAAACTTGAGGTACCTATTTTGTATAAACTTGATATTATGATATTTAATTATTTGCAGATGTCAATATAAGGATAAATTGCAATCCAAAACTTAAAAGATAAATATGTATTAACAAATTAATTTTTTCAAATTAAAAATTGAAATAATGTTCGTAGGAACAAAGTCCCCTAAAATTCATTAGCCAAATTACATAAAAATCGCATATTGCAAATAGTTCAAATCATAAAAATACCAAAAATGGACTTTCATCTTAAGCTCATAGATTGTGTGTGGTTTTATACTAAATTCAACAAACATAAAAAATAAATAAAGATACAAGCAATGCTCTTCTGTTGAAGAAAGTAAAAGTCCACCTTCCCCCAAAAGAAGCCAATATATTAATACATGCATGTTTTTGACTTATTTTCAGACTGAAACAATGGGATCATCGTGATACAAGTGATTATTGATCTCCTATTAATTGATTAGATAAATATTGATTTATGCGCACTGTGATTTTTTGTACTTAAAATCTTATAGTGACGATAATAAATTGATAAAAATATTTTTGGAGTGATTAAATGGTTTATTATATGACGTGAACAGCCTAGTTAAACTTTGAACTCTACCATGGATGGAAAGAAGGAAAAGTCGGAATTTGGACCAATAATTTATAATAAGTAAGTTGAATATTTTTTTCTATAACAATAATTAACTCCGTGTTGGATTTGTTTTTTTGCGTAGAGGAAAGATGGTTAGAGAAAACCGAGGGGTGGTTAACTCCTTAAAATATGTAGGTACACAGATTTTAAATCTTCATTGATTTTGTAGGATTTTGAAAATTTTGAAAATCTTCACATGATTTTACAGAATTTTAGGTAATTTTGGAGCATTTTAGGAAAGTTGGAAGGGTTTTTAGAGATCTTAAACGATTTTTAGAGATTTTAACGGATTTTTGGGATCCAAAGGATTTTTGGAAATGTTAAAGGCATTTTTTTATAGGAATTTCATAAGATTTTGCCGGATTTGTTTTGTTCTAATAAATTTTTTTTAGATTTTTAAAGATTTTAATGATTTTCGGGGATTTTAAGTAGTTAGATCTTACGACAGGATTTTAAAAGATTTTAGATTTATTAGATTTTAGGTGATTTTGAATCATTTTAGGGAATTTAAAAAGGGTTTTTATGGCGTTTTTACCAACTAATTTAGGGGAGCCTTAACGATGAGTATTGTTTAAACTAACATTTCTCCATAGAAGTCTGTCATTTTAAGGAATACTTATTGTTGAAGCTCCCATAAAATAGTTTGTGGAAACGGCCATTAGAGATCCTAAAGGATTTTTAGAAATTTTAACGGATTTTTGAAGATTCCAAAAGACAGTTGGAAATTTGGAAGGAACTTTCTTTTAGGAATACATATATTAATGATTTTATAAGATTTTGTTGGATTTTTTTTGTTCTAATAAAATTTTGTGTGATTTTGTGAAATTTGATGCAATTTCAAGTGATTTTAAAGGGATTTTGTGATGTTTTGTTATAGTTATTTATGTATCAAGGAAATTATTAGGTACTGTATTTTGTCCAGTTTTATAAAGAAATAAACCATAAACCAAAATTTCTATTTTTTGTCAAAGTTTCACCTATTCAAGGTAAAAGCGGGAGTTAAGGAAATCCTTAACTCCCGCGATGAAATCCTTAACTCCCTTGGGAGTTAAGACCCTGTTTATGATTATCGTAACCAAGGTATTATATGGTTATAATAGTTCAGTAGGAAATAAAATTTTTTATATCCTACTGACCTATTAAAACCATATAATACCTTGGTTACGATAATCATAAACAGGGTCTTAACTCCCAAGGGAGTTAAGGATTTCCATAACTCCCGCTTTTACCTTGAATAGGTAACACTTTGACAAAAAATAGAAATTTTGATTTATGGCTTATTCCTTTATAAAAATAGACAGAATACAGTAAATTCAGTAGGATATAAAATTATCTATGTACCACGGGAATTATCAGGAGTTAATACCCACGGGCAATTGGTGTCCCTCGGGCCGGAGGCCCTCGGGACACAAACGTTGCCCTGGGGTATTAACACCTGCATAATTCCCTTGATACATAAATAACTATAAAGATTCTCAGGGATTTTAAGTACACTGTGTTGTGTACAAGTTTTTCTGGACACATATTTTGACCAATCAACTGCTCCGAGGTTTAGTTAACTCTATAAAAAAATGAACACATATTTTAAATCTTAATTGATTTTTTAGGATTTTGGGAATTTTGAAAATCTTTACACGATTTTACAGGAGTTCAGAAGATTTTAGATTTTCAAAATTTTAGGTGATTCTGGAGCATTTTAGGGGTTTTTGAAAAGTTTTTAGAAATTCCCAATTCAAATGACAAATTTGAATGGAAAAACGGAAATTCCTAGACATTTAACTATAGGATTTCATAATACTTTTCCGAATTTCATCATATGATTCTATGAAATTCCACCATAAAATTCAATGGAATTGTTGGACAAAAATTCCTCGGAATTACACTATTTATGAGATTTCATGAAATTCTTCAGCATTCCACTAAAATTTCAAGTTATTTCATGGGAATTATGCGAAAATTTTTGTTAATTCCATAGAAATTCCTTAGAATTTAACTAGAAGATTTTATGGAATTCCTCGAAATTCCATTCAAATGACAAATTTGGATAGAAAAAAAAGTTCTAGAAATTTTACCATAAGATAATACTTTTCCGAATTTCACCATAAGATTCCATAGAATTCCACCTTAAAATTTAATGGAATTCTTGTACAAAAATTCCTCGGAATTACAGTAAAAGATATCATGAAATTTCTCGGAATTCCACTAAAATTTTATATAATTCGACAGAAATTACTCAGAATTTCACAGAAATTCTGTTTAATTTCAAGAAAATTCTTCGGATTTCATGTAATTTCACTGGAATTCCACAATAAGGTTTCAAGGATTTCCATGTATGTAATTCGACGAGAATTCCTTGAAATTTTACTCGACATTTCATCGAAATTTTATGTAAGTCGACACAAAATGAAATTATATGCATATAATTTGATGGAATTTTTTTTTTCGAAATTCCACTGAAATTCTCCAAAATTCTATAGAAATTTCAAATTCTATAATTTTTTTAAACCTGAAAGTTCCCAAAACTTCACCACAGCTATATCCTGGAATTCCACAAAATTTTCATAAAATTTTTCGGAATTTCACTGACATTTCCTATCATTTCTTAGAAATTCCTCAGAATTTCACTAAAATTTTATGAGAATTTTTTGAAATTTTATTGAATTCCACGTTATTAGTCGAATATTTCTCGAAATTCCAATGAAACTTCAAATTTTTTTTTCAAAATTTCATTTATTACCATAAGAATTTTTCGGAATGTTACCGAAATTCTCTTTCAATAGTCAGGAATTTCTGGGAATATAAATGAAACTTCAAGTAATTTCTTGAAAATTGACCGAAATTCCTCCGAAATATATTGAAATTTCATATCATTACATGGGAATTTTTCCATTCACCGAAAGTGTATTTTTGTAGCCAGATATTCCACTTGTAAAATTTTTTCTAATTTTACTAAAATTCAGTAATTCGATAGGAATTTTTGGAATATCAATTTCATTAAAATGCCATGTTTTTAACTGGGAATAAAAATAAAACTTCATGTAATTAATTACATTAGGATTTTTTGGAATTTCATTGGAATTCCTTATAAAACGATAAGAGTTGTTCAAAATTCCACTTAAATTTCATGTAATTCCCTGACAATTCCTTGGAATTTCATGCAATTGCATTGGAGCTCCATATATAATTCGACCGAGAATTCAACGTAATTTTTTGAAACTTTTTATAAGTTCTTTATGTAATTTGACGAGCACTGAAATTTCATGTTGGGAATTTCGGTATAATTCCATGTAATTGTTCAGAATTCCTCCATGCAACTCATTCAGGATTTCATGAAATTCGATCGAAATTCCACTGAAATTTCATGTAATTCGAGAGAAACTAAAATTAAATGTGAATTCTATGGAAACTTCGCAAAAATTTCACGTCACATTTCACACCATAAAATTCAATGGAATTCTTGGAATTTTTTTTTCTTCGGAATTACAATATAAGATTTCATGAAATTCTTTGGAATTCCAGTAAAATTTCAAGTTATTCCATGGAAATTCCGCGGAAATTTTAGTCAATTCCATAGAAATTCCTTAGAATTTTACCAGAAGATTTTATGGAATTCTTCGAAATTCCATTCAAGTGATAAATCTGAATGGAAAAACGTAAATTCCTAGAAATTTAACTATAAGATTTCATAATACTTTTCCAAATTTCATGATAAGATTCAAAGATTGGAATTCCACAATAAAATTCAATGGAATTCTTGAACAAAAATTCCTCGGAATTACATTATGAAATTTCATGAAATTCTTCGGAATTCCACTAAAATTTCAAGTTATTCCATAGGAATTCCGCGAAAATTTTTAGTAATTCCTTAGAAATTCCTTAACATTTCATCAGAAGATTTTATGGAATTCTTAGACAAAATTTTTTCGGAATTACAGTATACGATTCAATGAAACTCCTCGGAATTCCACTAAAATTTCAATTTCAAAATTCCATAATTTTTTTTTTTAACTTTACTGAAATTCCCCAAAATTCCACCACTGAAATATCCTGGAATTCCACAAAATTTTCATAAAATTCTTCGGAATTTCATTGACATTTCATGTAATTTCTTAAAAATTCCTCGGAATTCTATAAAATTTTATGAGAATATTTTGAAATTCTACGTTCACCGCCGAAGATTTCTCGGAAGTTCAATGAATTTTTCGAAATTTATTTTCATAAGAAATTTCATTGAAATTCTCTTTTAATAGCCAGGAATTTAATAAGCTTCAAGTAATTTCTTGAAAATTCACCGAAATATATTGAAATTTCATGTCATTACATGGGAATTTTCGGGAATATCACCGAAATTCCATGTTTTTAGTTGGAAATTCCTCGGCATTCCACTTGTGGAATTTTCTGGAATTTTACTAAAGTTCAGTAAGAACTGAAATTTCATGTTGGGAATTTCGGTGGAAGTTCATATAATTGTTTAGAATTCCTCCATGCGATTAATTTAGGAGTCCGTGTAATTCGATCGAAATGTCACTGAAATTTCATGTAATTCGAGAGGAACTAAAATTTAATATGAACTCTATGGAAACTCCGCAAAAATTTCACATGTAGGTAATTCCTTTTTCAGAACAACATAATTCTACAGAAATTCCTCGAAATTCCAGTAAATTATGGAATTCTGAGAGACTTAACAGATTTTTGGGGATTCCAAAGAATTTTTGGGAATTTCAAGGAAAATATTTTTTAGGAATGTTGATGATTTTATGAGATTTTGCAGGATTTTTTTAATTTTAATGCAGTTTTGTTAGATTTTGTGCAATTTCAAGAGATTTTGTGGGATTTTGTTAAATTTTTAAGGATTTCAAAGATTTTTAGGGATTTTGAGTAGATTTTATGAGATTTTCTGGGATTTTGACCAAGTTGTACACAGATTTTGACCAGTTAACCACCCCTCGGAGAAAACTTACTTAATATTACCCTCCTTTAACCTGTTATATTTGGGAATTTTTAACAAATTGTGGGTTTACTTTATTGGAATCAGTAAAACTTGAGGATGAACAAGCATTTTAATAGACGGATTTTCTGATTTTTATTGAAGCTTTTATGGATAAGTATTTCTCTTTAGGTACCACATCAGGGACAAAACTGAAAAGTGTATCAGTGAGATGAAGTGATTATTGAAAGGGTGTAAGAGTCTCTAAGATAAATAGGTACCTCATACCAACCTCAGTCAATTTAGGGTGTAAGAGTCTCTAAGATTAATAGGTAGCTCATACCAACTTCAGTCAATTTTAATATCTAATAATTATGTAGTATTTTCTCTAGGATCGAGGAAACTTTTTTAGAATTGCAGTTTTGAAAAGATTCAGACGATTTTTATTGAATAGCCATTATTTCAAATCATGAGAAAACACTTTTTTTTCCTAAACATCATCATAAATAAACAAATTTAGCACACAAAATAGTCAAAATGAGATCAATTTATCAAAACAAACTGAAAACTCAGCCGGAATTATGAGATAAGGCTTTTTCTCTCAAACTTATGCAAAGAAACATTCATATTTGGGTTTTTCTCCATCAACGACAAACAAGCTAATATCGCACAAATCTCGCGAGAAAACCCTCGCTGACGTGACCCTGGTTTTCCTATTCAGGCTTCAGGGCCAAACAAAATATTTGTATGTAGATTATTCATGTAAATTTCTCCGACAATTTATTGCTTGATAATCTTTGATATTTATCTGTGAAAAAACATACAAATCTAAAATCTATTTTGTTCTAATCTCTTTGTAATCCTGTAATCAAGTTTTCTTTTATAGAGATTATAAAGAATTGAAATTTTATCATATTTTATTAATTAGGACAGAAATTCGACAGATTAGGGTTTAGATATTGTTTTAGATTTCTTTTTCATATTCAAAAGGTCTGTTTGATATTCAAACTAGTTTTCTGACTGTTTCCGACTGTTTTCAACCAATGAAATTCGCTCTGACTCAGAGTTTGTCATTTCGGTAGAAACAGACCTAATGATTGAAGCACTGTTGTCAAGTCTAGTGAAATTTCACTGGATATACTTAGTGATTTTTTTCAACCTAGTCGCTTAGCGAAATTTTTTATTAAAATGCCTTTTTTCTCATCCAAATTATAATTTTCTGAATAATTTGTGCTTAGTTGAATAGTTAAAAACTTGTTGTGTGTTTGGGCAATAAATAAATATTATTGAAAAATATTATAAAAACACTGAATACCTACTTCGTCTCTTTGCCAGTACTTATCTTTTCGTTCTTATCAACTACTACATTTTATCTCCCTCTCTGGTATGTTTTTGTGAGGTGTTTACTTACGAATTATTGAGATTAAAATTAAATTATCCTTATATTGCAATTAAAGAGAAGAAAGTTAACATTATTCAGTTCTGTGGATGCTTTATTTTCAAAGTAATACCAACTAGCATATGGTACATGATACCTCGATTTATTATAAAATGGACGAAGATAGACTACCGTTGTTAATGAAAAAGACTTTTGAATATAAATCATTTTCGTAAGTAATTATATGGTAAAAATATACCTATAATAGAAATTAGAGGTAGAATAGTATGTCAATAGGTAGCCCTAATTCACTGTCAATACAATTATTGTAAATTATTTCGGATCAATATTTCATTAAAAAGTATATCCCTATTTTTTTAGTACTCACATAGACCATGAGGATTTGTTGAATCAAAATAATCCGGATTTACATATTGCTAGACCAATTTATCAGATCGAGGACCTCCACAAAGATGCACTTTACGAAAAACCTTATTCAACAAGTAAGAAACTATTTATTTTATACAGTTTTTACCTTAGTTTCTTCAAATTCTTTTGAGAAAGTTCTTTTGTGCCATTTTATCAAACAGTCTGGTAATTTATTTGCAATTTTAATATTTACAAGCGGATTTGAGGCCAAATAGGTCGATAATTGTTTGGTGCAGTTCAATTATTATCGCTGATTTTTTTTGTAAAGATAACTGCAGACTAGGAGTATTGCTTATAAACTGCCAATTCGAATTTGGTCGGAGGGAATTTGTTCTTGTGTCATTTGAACATGACATATTTCGCGGATCCTCCACAACAAAATCATTTTCAAAGTGACACACAGGTCTTATTGCTTAGAGCTGTTACCCTATAAGATTGGATTTTGTAATTCAGAGTGCATTGATAAGATTCCCTTTTAATAAAGTGTCTTTTCATACTGCTTTTTAGACTCTCCTAATGTATTATACTTGATTTTAAACATGCTTCAGTTCGCGTGAAGATTCTTTTTTAATTTTCTTTCTTTTTCTTGAACATTATGTTCCGAGATGATATGATTTCTCCATTCTTTGATCCTAAAATATTTATTTAATTATGCTTTTTTATTTATTACAGCAAGAACCAAAGTAGCCAAATTTTGCAAATCTATAGATGTAGGAAAATGTCTTTTAGATACAATACCACTATTAAGGTGGCTGCCAGAGTACAGCTGGAAAAGAAGTTTTGGTTCGGATATTATCAGTGGTATTACAGTAGCTATTATGCATATTCCACAGGTAAGTCTCAATATACCAAGGGGTGAACCACTAGTTGAAATTGGGAATATTGGAATTGGAAATATCATCTCATTCTAACCCATAAATCGCATATCATACATTTTAAACGATACAGCGTACCGGTCAGTTGTATATTTGCCTTTAAGACTAAGTTTTAGGCAACATGAGTGCTAGGCAATTTGGAATGAATTTGATATCCCAACGAGTTTTCCAATAACTGAACCCGAGACTAAGAAGAGTTTAGAACTTGAAGAAGATGAAGAACGAGATGAATATTAGGTCTGTCCTCACAGAAATCACAAACCAGTCGGAGCGTTTTTGATTGGTGCAAATTGCCAACAACCAGTTTTCTGACTATTGTCCAATGAAATTTGTTCTGACTGGTTTGTGATTTCTGTGAGAACAGACCTAAAGTATGACAATGTTGTAGAGCATAAAAATGAAAACATGAGTCTTGAAACATCCGACTTGTCAAAAGAAGACACAGAATTTCTTCACACATCAGGGTTTAGCAATTGGGTTTCACTACAATTCAGAGGTTATTCAGGGCTCAACTTTAATTTCTTAGAAGCAGGGATGTTTGTCTATTCAATATTGAGAGCTATGGGAATGAGGAGGACAAAAAAGAAAAAGTCGGGAATCCAAGGCAATAAGAACTTGAAAAAGGAAAGGAGAAAGTAGAATAAATACTAGGCAGTGCCAGAAGCAGAGACGATAGCACATCAGAATCAGAAATAAGTTTGTAGAGTGAAACCCTAACTGAAGATGTCTCTGATTCAGATGAACAACCTTAGTGAAATCAAAGGAATATCCATTATTTTAGATCCATATTATGCAGGTAGATACGCAATGGTATCTAGGGCTCAACAACTATTTATACCTACAACAAAATCGGTGTGGGCGTGGACAACCATGGAAATAAAAGTTGCTAACTTTTGGAACAGTTGCAAATACAGAAATTGCCAATTTTTCAGTGAAAATGTGTTTTTATAAGAGAAACGACTGTTTATTTTGGCCTTATCAATGCGAAGCTTAACAATAAGACATCGTTTTTGTAATAAAATCAGCTGAAAATCGGATGATTGTAGGAAATCAGGTAATCAATTGGGAATGATATAGGAATCACCAGAAAAAATGAAAATCACCTGGGGCCCTATTCACGAAACCGGGGAACAGCGTTCTCATGAGAATGATGGTTCTGTCTTTGTTAGTGTTACGGAAATATGAATATGAGCGACGAAGACAGATCCTACGTTCTCATGAGAACGCTGCTCTCCTGTTTTGAGAATAAGGACCCTGGTAATCATACAAACATATCTGAAAATCATTGGCAATCAGTCGCAATTCTTGGGATGGGAATACATGAGATTCATTGATCAGTTATTGCTAAATATGGGAATCATTGTACATTTGTAAGCATAGTGGTTGACCCCTCGCAATATACATACTATAATAATTTCAAATAAATAGTTTATTTCTTGTAGGGTATGGCATATGGATTATTAGGTAACGTCCCCCCGATAGTCGGCATCTATTTGGCTTTTTTTCCGGTATTAATTTACTTTATTTTTGGAACTTCCAGGCACGTTTCAATGGGTAATAAATAGTTTAATTTAAATTCAAATTGTTAATCAATTATTTGTAGGTACTTTTGCAATCGTCTGCCTGATGACAGGCAAAGTAGTAAGTGAACACGCAAATTTAGAAATAATGCAAAATGGTACTACAAGATCGGTAGGAACTTCTCATGGGCCTAATGAAATGCCACTGACTAACATACAAGTAGCTACTACTGTAACATTTACTGTAGCAATTATACAAGTAAGATTTTTCTGTAATAAAATATAATCAAATCCTGATTTTTTCAAGGATCTATTTTTCAGGTAATAATGTTTGCCTTACGACTAGGCGCCGTTTCCAGTCTTCTTTCTGACAATCTTGTAAGCGGGTTCACTTGTGCCTCCGCTTTTCACGTTGCCGCCTCACAACTTAAAGATTTATTAGGTTTAAATATTCCTAAAAGAAGAGGAAATTTTTCGTTTGGATATGTATGTGTACAATTTTAATTTTAATTCTATTTTTTAATATGTGTTATCGTTTAGACTCTCTACGATGTGGTATTAGCAATTCCCAAAGCCAATATTGCTGCTGTAACTGTGACTGTGATAGCTTGTACAATACTTGTGATAAATAATGAGTTTTTTAAGGTAAATACTTGTTTGTTTTGTAATCATTAATACACAGCTCACATTTTTAGCCTTGGTTATCAAAAAAATGTAAAATGCCTTTTCCAATCGAACTAGTAGCCGTAGCATTGGGTACAGCAGTGACATATTTTTCTGGCATCAATATTAGTCATAATGTTACTACTGTGGGTTATATTCCTACTGGTCTTCCAGAACCCGCTTTACCAGTTTTCAGTCTTATACCACAAATTTGGCTAGATGCTTTGGTTATTACAATGGTCTCTTATACGATAACCATGTCTATGGCTCTTATTTTTGCTAGAAAACGAATGTACGAAGTGGATTCTAATCAAGAATTATTGGCTATGGTAAGTACTTCCACTGTAAGGTAGGGCTAATAAAAAATATTTCTAAAAACTTTCCTTAAACGTTGACCATTGAAAGTAAATTCTTTTAGGGTCTAAGTAACTGTTTCGGTTCATTCTTCTCCTGTTTACCAGTGACAGCCTCTCTGTCGCGTTCCATGATCCAAGAAACTGTCGGCGGTGTAACTCAGCTGGCCAGTGTTGTTAGCTGCATGTTATTGCTGATTGTATTGCTATGGGTCGGGCCGGTATTTGAAACTTTACCACGATGCGTTTTAGCCAGCATCATTATTGTTGCTTTGAAGGTAAGCATTGACTGATTGTAATTTTTATGCATTCAAAATATTGTGTTTATACAGGGAATGTTGCTTCAAGTGAAAAACTTACCCCTCTATTGGCACCTGAGCAGATGGGACGCCTTTGTATGGTCGGTTACTTTCTTTGTAACTCTATTTGCTCAAATCAGTGTCGGTTTAGTAGCAGGAATGGCCGCTTCCCTAATCAGTGTAGCTGCTCAAGGCTTAATGCCCAGAGCATCGATTTTAGGCCGTTTGGCTGGTACTGACCTGTACTTGGACATAAAACGACACAAGGCCACTTCAGACGTTAAAGGATTGAAAATAATTCATTTTGTTGGCGGATTGAGTTTTGCTTCCAGAGACGCATTCAAGGATTTGTTTGTACAAAAAGTGGGAATAGATGCTGCAGATAGTTTGAGGAAAAGAGCTAAATTGAGGGAAAAGGGATTTGATGTGGATGAAGAAGAAGGGTTCATTGCAAAAGGAATTGTAATTGATTTTTCTTCTTTGACGTTTTTGGACCCTTCTGGGGTTGCGTTTCTAAGACAGCTACAGTCTGATCTTGAGAAGTTGGGGATTGCTTTGTATATTGCCGGATGTTCAGGTAAAAATTTTGCATATCATATTATTTAAATTATTTGATGATACGCCCTAAAAACTCCAGCCAATGTTTCTTTTATTTTTCTTCCAGGTCAGTCTTATGAAGTGATAACAAACTGTGATAGGTGGGAGAAAAAAGACAGCAAGTTCCTTATCTTTCCCACAGTACATGATGCTGTACTGTACGCTCAGTCAAATAGTTCATTAAACGGTGACGCCCTATGTAATATTAATAGGTAGAACATTGTTTGGAATGCTTAATTTTTCTTGAATACCATTCTTTGTCTTATGAAAACTTCATTATTTATTTGGTAAAGACAAGAACACCATTAGTGACTTAAAACACCCTCTCGTTTCACTGGGGCAGGAACAGTGTAAACACTTCAAAAGAATGTTAAATATTTTTCGGTAGCCTAATTGTACCAAATACTAGTCTTTTTGTAGTTTTTAGTGTAAGTAATTGTTGATGTCAATAGTTTTAAAGTTTTTATGATAACATTAATTTGAAGTTGTTGATGTTTTGAAATTTTATATTTAATGTATATAAATGTATATATAGATTTTATGACGAAACAATTTTAGTGAGAAAAATAAATATCAACTCTATTTTGATCATCCTTTAGTTTCTTTCAGTGCTCAGTGCAAAAATATGACCGACATTGGTTGCCAGCAAAAGATTGAGATTCTTTAAAAAAACATAGTTGTTTTTGATTTTTTTTAAAGGAATCTCTACTGTAGGAATATGCTTGCTGCAAAAATACCAATCAAAATTAAAAAACATTTAATACAAATTACATATTTACAAAAATACCCATCAGTTTGACACGTCCAATAAAGAAAAAAAATTGTCATGCTTATGCTAAGTCATACCCTAATAAATCCTCTAAACCGTAACCAAATAACTTAAAGTCAGGAAGATATTTTTTGTACAAATGTTCAATATTGAAAATAGATAATTGCTGAAAGTATTCGCGTAATTTATCTCTTGTGTGACCGGCCCTGGTCACTGGAAAAACAATCGGAGGCGCATCTACCATTTCCAGTATTGTTTTGGAGTCTTGGGCAAGGGTTTCATAGTGACCTATTATTTTTGTCAATAATTAATAGATTCACCTTAAATAAATTAAAAAATTCTTACCAATAAACGTATAGTTCAAGGTACAAGGCAAGCACAAGTCGTAAATTGGTGCCCAGTGTTCGTTCGAGTCCACACCTTCGTTCAATAAGTAAGTAACAAATTCTGGAAACGATACATTTGCACCAGAGTCCAAGTCAGATTCTGTAGCAGCGGAGCGATATTTTTTAATTATATGCTTTCCATATCGAGCCTGAAATTATTTCTATTATTTTTTTGAAAAAATTCGTTTCAATTGTTACCTGGAAATACTTTGAGCTAGGGATATTATCAGTAAATTTATTCCGATAAGCAGATAGCAATCTTTCAAATGGATGTCTGGCAATTAGGAAGAGAGTGTATTCATATAGGACCTGTTTTATTTCAGCTTCAGGCAGTTGCGATAATCTGAGAAGCATAAAAATTTTAAAAAAATGTTCAGTCAATATGATTAGTAGACCAAATAAAGCAGCAATGTAGTTTCTAGTCTTCTAGTGCAACATAAATTTGAAAAATCTTACCTGATTGTTGAACCATTGAAATGCGCCTCACTCGCTGGTATACTGACTAGATTACTAGCATTGGACTGACCAGTCAGCACCATCATAACCCGTTTCCAATTGGTACATGCCACTTTGGGCACGTAACAATACAACAATTTGTGACTGTGGTCGACTAGGATGTGACTCAATTTAGACACGTCATACGGGGTGCGTCTACTTACGCCTAAATTGTCACAGCCTAATGTAAGTTCCTCTTGGCGCGAAATTTGCTCAAGCCAAGGATACTTTTCGGTGCTACAGCACGAATTTGACATGAAACTGCCCATCATCATCGCTACAAAAACCCATCGCCTTTTTTCTAGCCCTAACATAGTTGGCCTTAATTAACATGTCTTGGGTCTCTTGCCTTTTGTCACTCTTTTCACAAACCTTAGTTCAGATCTGAAAGGAAATTTAGTTATTTTATTGTGACCTAAGATACATGGGAGGAACAATGGCAACAGCAGATTACAGCTATCATGATTACATAAGTTGTCCAAAGAATATTTTATTTATTATTGCAATTGACAAATTATTCTAAAGTCACTTTTGTAGAATCCAATAACAAAATCAGTAAATGGGGATATTAGTTAAGCTTCACCTCGAGCTTCACATAACCGCATTGAAATGGTTTTGCAATCATTCTAAATTATTTCTTTTTGTTTGGATCTATTTTGTCGACTCTCAAAGAAACATAGTTCACAGACCCAAGATACGGTAACCTATAGGCGACCATCTGATCTGCCTATTGTTTGCAATCTATTGTTATTTCAAGTTAGCGTAGAGACACTAGATTTGACTATTCCTCAAATGAAAATTATTCCAGAATGTAATTTTCTACACTAAGTAGGACTTTAAAATAACAGAATTCAAATTAGCTTCGTATATTCCATAAGCAAGAATTCTACAACCTATATATTGATTCCAAATTGTCCTTGTATTATATACTGCGTTTATTTGATCTGACTCTCAATGAATAGGTATTGGGTGCTAGTGACTCCGAAGTAGTTGTTAAAGAAAGAAGATCTGATAGCTGAATGAAATCTTTTAAGGAAGATATAGAAGATAGGTATTTTAATAATATAATTCATGACAATTTCTGGCCTCGGGGAGCAGTATTTAGGGAATTTAACTTCAACATCCCAAGAAAATCAAATGTGCACTCAAATTTTCAGTATTATCAGCAGCCAAGAAACCGGTACTAAGTATTTATCATCAGAATGTTAGAGGGATTAAGACTAAAATTAAGACTCTCATGTGTAATATGTTTGTTGATGACTATGATATCGTACTGCTGACAGAAACATTTCTCTATTAAACTATTTGAATGTACAGTCTATTTTTTCCCAAGATAGATTTTGACATTGAAAACTTTGAAACATAAACAATAACGCTTGGCCCTGATTGGTCGTAAAATGAGGTGTTCTTGCAGGTTGACATCAGTTTTACAATGCATGACGTGCAAATGGCATTTTGCGACCAATAAGCGGCATTAGCGGCATTGTTTAGGTTTCAAAGTTGACAATGTCAAAATCTATCTTGGGAAAAATAAACTGTAGACACAGTGACAATTACAAGGTAAAAGTGACAGATATAAAATACCAAAACATCAAAGTTTTATATCTTGGCGTGGCAAGTAAATTGTATTTTGCATCCATTTATTCTGTGTTATAGCATTGATACACGTGTTATTATATTTTTATTTCTTGTCGTTTGTAACTTGTATTTATCATTGTGTCTTCAGTCTTAACAATAAACTAAAATGCAAATTACTACCCACTGATGTGGAATCCTTCGAACAGCTGTTTGTAATGGGGTCAATGGATAAAAAACGTTTATTGTTTGGGAATGTTTATATTCCTCCTGACTCACCATGTGAAGTCTATGAGAAATATACATCTTCTGTTGTACAGGATCTGTTCCTCATAATTAGTGCGGCACCTACAACTTAAACAAAAGAAAATACAAAAAAAAAGTATAATATAAAAGTTGTAGGGTCTTATCTCTATTATGTTTTGCACATGTCAAAATAGGCAAATGACAGGTGCCAACTGTCATAATGACAGCACTTGCATTTTTTTAAATTGAACACCCTGTATATTTTTGGCTAGAATGATAGGATTTTTTCTTCTGATTCCAAATATATCATATATGTTGATATTTGGTTCAGCTGTTTTTGCGCTATTTCATTTCACAATTGCATTGAGCAAGCCTCATAATTGATATTAGAAACCGGGAACAGACCTAATTTAGGGTAATGTAAATGCATTTTTAAACTTGAATAGCGTAAAAACAGCTAAACCAAATATCAACATATATGGTATATTTGAAATCAGAAGAAAAAAATCTATCTTCCTAGCTAAAAATATACAGGGTGTTCCATTTAAAAAAATGCAAGTGCTGTCATTATGACAGTTGGCACCTGTCATTTGCCCATTTTGACATCAACGAAAGATAATAGGGATAAAACCCTACAACTTTTATATTTAACTCTTTTTTGTATCTTCTTTTGTTTAAGTTGTATGTGCCGCACTAATTAAGGTAAATTACCCAGTTGTTGACATGTTAAGGGTATCCTTGCTTATGATCACCACACATTTTCTAAATTTTCAATCCCAAGGCTTTGATATATTTTTTGGCGTGATTTCAAACTCATAATTGAATGTGTAGATATATTATTTACCCTATATTCCTATTATTTGTGTTATTATGCCAAAAATACATGAAAGGTGATAAAACCCCAATAGTTGACACCCAAAAAAGTTCACTTCGCCAAAAGTTGACACATTTTTGATCCAAAGGTTGACATATATTTTTTTACAAAACGAAATTTTTACTTTTAAGAAGTTTTATCACGGTCTGTGGAACTAAGAAGTATATTTTTCTAAGTGTACAATTTTTTAAATGAAATATATGCACATAATAACCAATTATTTTAATTTTTTTTAAGTACATGTTGTGGTTCCATTACTTGACACTCTTGAAACCAATAGTTTACATGTTGCCTGTATCAGTAGAAACCCTGGTAGAAACATCAATAATGTAAGAATCAAACTTTTTAATAATAAAAAATAACATTGGGAAACTTTTTGTTGGGAAAAAAATACAAATTTCAATTCCAAATTGCTAATAAAAGAAATTGCTTGGAAAGCATTGGTACATTGTGTTTTTTTGCTGCTATAGCTGCAGTGAGCCCCCTATCACAATCATCCAATGCAGCAATCACGTCTTCTGGTAGTTCTGGTACATATTTCAGCAATTTCCATTTTTCATGCGTCATCTCTTGATTTAAACTTGAAAGGACCAATTGTTGACACTCCAAAGCTCCAAACCTTGACAGGGGTAACAGGGGTGTCATCTTTTGGATCTACGACCGTTACATTCCCAAAACCCATATCTAGGTTTCTTTTTAATCCAGAGCAATAAAAAGAGACAGACTACAATGTTAAAATATTTTTACCGCCAAAAATCCATAAGTTGACACTAGTGTCAACATTTGGATCACCCCTCGATTTGGGCTTCAATAGTTGACACCCCCCCTTAAAAAGTTTATGTCAGTTGTTTAAGAGATAAAACAATAATAAATATGTATTACAATGTATCTTATTATACAGTAAATATATATTATTCATAATTTATCAACCCTACCTTAGCTTTGAGAACTTTTGTTTTTATATCTTCTTAACTATTTTCACTAGAAATCTGGGAAAAAATTCAAACATTTGCACCTGTTCACTACTTCTTGCGACAATTTTGAAAAAACTTGTCATTTCAAATCCATACATCAGCTATAGCCTGAAAGATGGCTCCAACAATACTATAAGCTATTTCAGTTAGCTTATAACCTATATAAATTCTTATTTTCGGGAATAATATGCTAATGTGTCAACTTTTGGGACCCTGTCAACAACTGGGTACTTTACCTTATAAGGAGCAGACCCTGTACAAGTTATTAATAGTTATTCCTGTGTGGTGATTTCAACAGACCAAATATATTGTGGGTTAATAACGATGATGGTTGCAGGCCAACTGGGTTGTTCACAGACCAAACCAGATGCCTGACAGATTGTATGGCACTTTTTAATCTAAACCAAGTCAACTAAATCTCAAATCAGTTAAAAAATTACTTGGACTTAATCTTTAACAATAGGAGGGATTTGCCAATTGTTCCATGTGTTAATCCCCTCCTGAAATTAGATAAACCGCACCCTGCATTAGAGTTTGTGGGCGGCATTGACAAATCAGTAAGTAGATCACTTGTCAGCTGATTACTTTTATTATAATTTCAAATTGTGTAACTTTAGAGATCTCGAATTGCGGCTTTATCGATGATTGATTGGGGTAATATTCCATTGATTGAGGACTTAGATCACTTAATTGAAGTATTTTATGAGAACCTTTATGATGCTATCAAAGTATCAACCCCAGTGAATCGGCATAAGAACCCTAAGTTTCCAAAATGGATGGATGTCACCTTGAAATAATTGATTTTAATAAAAAAAGCTGCACACAAAAAATTTAAGGAAACATCTTTAGAGGATTACCTTGAGTTTTCACAAATAAGGTTGAAATGTAAGGAATATGCTTCAATCAATCAACCATCAAAATTACCTAGATAGTATAGAGGAACGGGTGCAGGATCGAAATGGATTTTGGAGTTACATTAGGTTAAAGCAAAATACAAATAGTTTTCCCAGTTTAATGACTTTGAAAGATGAGAATGCAGATTCTCCTGAAGACATTGCTGAGCTCTTTAAAAAACATTTTTGTTCTGTATATAAAAAACATGACAAATCAGATGCAAATGTCTCATGTGATTTGTTGTCTGTTGACTTGAGCTGTATAACTATTGATGTCATGGATGTTTATCATAAGATTTTTCATCTAAAAGACAATCTAGGTAGTGGACCAGATTAATCATGAAGAAATGCATATGTATATTTTCCTATTTACTGTGTCAAATTTATAATAGATCATTGAGCAGGGGTATTTTTCCAAAAGCATGGAAGACCAGTTTTGTGACTCCAATTTTCAAAAGTGGCGATAAGTCCCTAATTGAGAACTACAGGCCTGTTTCTAGAATTTCTATTTTCTCCAAGATACTAGAAGCGATAATAACGGACAAAATAACACCATTATTTAAAAAATTAATAATTCCTGAACAACATGGTTTCAGAAAAGGGAAGTCCACGACTTCAAATTTGTTGGAATGTGAACAGACTTTGTTTGGCGCTTTGGAGGAGGGGTATCAGGTGGATGTGGTCTATACAAACTTCTCCAAGGCATTTGACAGAGTTGACCATAGGATTCTAAAAAATTAACTGGAATGCATAGGTTTTCACGGTAGTTTCTTGGATTGGATTGTTGATCAGCTTTCAGGAAAAAAGCAAAAAGTGTAAAAGTAGAAAATGTTATCTCAACTGATATAGATATACCTTAGGGGGTTTTGCAAGGCGGACATTAATCTCCACTTCTATTTAACCTCTTCATGAATGATGTTATTAAGGTTTTCACAAGTTGGAAATTTCTAAATTTTGCCAATGACAAAAAAATATTTCTTATTGTTAAAAATATTAATGACTATGAGATCCTTCAAAATGAATGAATGAAGGAATCATTTAGACCTTAATTTAGACAAATGCAAAATTATGTCCTTTCGGAGAATGAATAGTCCTTTTTATTTTTATTATTCAGTTGGGGGAATTGATCTGGAGAGAGTTTATGTCATGAGGGATTTAGATGTAGAATTAAATTCTATTGATGATGATGAACTTCAGACTCTTCTAAATATGCAGACATTACAACAAAGAAGGGTCCAGCAGGACTTGTATATTTTATATAAAATATTCAACAACATGATTGATTCACCTGAGCTTTTATCGTTAATAGGTTTGAACATTCCTCGCAGTAATATTAGAAGCAATAGGTTATTTTCTATCAAACATCACCGTACTAACTATGGTTACTATTCTCCTTTAACAAGATTCTCTAGACTGGCAAACTCTGTAATAAATAGGCTGAATATAGATATTTTCAAATGGCATGTACGTAAATAAAAATTCTATTCTATTCTATTCTTGAGTCAACTGAATATACTGTGACCTGTGACTGTGGTAAATTAGAAAAAGTAAATGTAGTGGGCAATATAAATTATTAAAGCAACAAAAGTTATAATTATTTAGAGTGTAGCATCTTAGATCTGACCTCCAAGAATTAAACTGGTAACCAAAACCTTCAAAATACTTTACATTTTTACTTGAAACTGAAATTTTACCTGTTTGCGACGCCATAAAAATTGACCAACTGCTTGTCATTGTCGAGAATTTTCCCATTGGCAATATTTTGCAACCAGAACGTTCTCCAAATGTAGCGCCAACTAACTTTTGTTTTACTTTTTTGACGTTGCTGTTTTAGGAAAAAATGCCTTCTTATGGCCTTTTTAAGGTCTAGGACGGTTGTTTGTCGTTGTGGAATCTGAAATGCGAGTGAGAAATAATAAATCACGCTCTGGGTACTATCAAATTTCATCTAGTAAATTAAGTACCTACTTATTATAATAAAATTGGTAAAAAATTCAAACCTGTGAATATATCTTAAAAATAAATTTATTTATTTTATTTATTTATTTATTTATTTATTTATTCCATTCAACAACAATATAATACACAACAAGAAGATGATGATGAAACAATATGCATATAATGGACATGAGCGTCTGTGTGAATGCATATTGGGCTCATCAATAAATTTTACAATTAAATTAACCTATAACATTTAAAAAAAATACATTGACACATAATACCAATAAAGGCCGAGAAGAAAAAAAGAGAAAGAATTGAAAAAAACAAATATGTTTTACTGTAATTTAATGACGCGTTTAATGGTATTTGTGTTATCCCTAATCCATACGTGTAACTGTTTCTTAATCCTACTATATTTTCTGTTTTTATATTGTTCTGGTAACATATTTGACCAAAGCAAAAATATTCACAGTTATCATGCGACTTTGCATATGCAGAATTACATTTGTTGTGTAGTTTACATTGAGATTGTTGACCTGCTTTGACTTCTACATTTTTCGAGGCTGCTCTGATAAAATTTCAAACTAATGGTCTGGACCTGATAAAATCTCTAAACAAGTCGGAACAAATTTGACTATGTTTATTTCATGCGGCTAATCTGGATCAAGATTTAAGGAAAATTATATTATGTATCAAGCCTACTGAATTTCATTTGTAAACAAACGAAACAGAATGAATGGGAAAGTAGGTAATTTCTACAGTTAGGTATTCAAATTGAAATCCTAAGTACTTAGGTAATTATCATTGACATAAATTTTAGAATTTTAAATATTATCCTCGATTTTATCTGCACAATAATGATTTATTCAGATAATAGGCATTTGAAGAAACTAAGAGCCACTTTCTTCATCAACAATTGAAATTTATTTAAAGACATGATTTTGAAATTTTTCCTTTTTACAAATATCGATAAAAAAATCTTGAATAACTCCACGAAACACTTAACTACTAACAAGTTAACTAAAAATATACCTCTTTGATCTTGAGCAAAACTTATAAACACAATGAAAATTAGCAAGCCCAGCACGATCCAGTAATAAGAAAAATAATAAAATCAAATATCCTACATTCCTAAGATAAAAATAGATTTACATATTTAGGAAACAAAACATTTGTGCTTGAAATCCTATTATCCTGTAATCAGAAGAAGTGTGCGTAATCATTCAAAATAAAAATGAACCTTCCAATAATGTCATAGTCATAATGTTATCTTAATTAGGTAAATACTTATGTACTTTACTAAGGCAAAGATATTATTATTTGAACCACTGATTCATAGTTTATAAAACTTGAAGTTTTTTTCAACTGCAAAATATAATTTAAAATATTAATAAGTCTTTTGAATCATGGAATCAAGAAAACAATAATTCACAAAACATTATTCAAAACAAATAAATTGGAAATAAAAAATATATACCTACTTATATCTTAATTCTTAGGACACTTAGGGCGGGTATTATAAAACTATTTTGACAGAATAACTAAAAGTTAACTTCTCGAATGATGTTACTCCTCATGGTAATTCCAGAAGTTAACTTTTAGTTATCTGCCAAAATAGTTTTATAATACCCGCCCCTAGATGTTGCTGGTTACTTAGTTTTTTTTTAAAATCTCATGATAAGTTTTCAGTAAAAAGAACTATTGTCTAATTTGACTTTTGAATCTCTAAAAATCAACTATAATGCCCGTATTACATCTGTGTATTTTTCCGTGTATTTATTCATGTAGTTCATAGTGACAACCGAAAAACTTCAAACGCAACATAAATCAGCATTATTAAAAACAAAATAATGTTGGCACCCTGAACTACATGAATAAATACACGGAAAAATACACACATGTAATACGGGCATAAAACAAGTAAAAGATGTTCTTACCACAACACTCAAAGGGCTCTCAGTATATCTCAAAATAGTAACAGTTATACTTTGACCCTGGGCTACAGCAATTTGGGCCAAAACTTCTTCTGGGGTAACGTCGACGGGTAAATCTGATAGTAACGAATCGGAAGCTACAAGTCTCTTGATGCTGCTCTGAGTGATTTCTAGGAGATCTTCGTGAGAGAGATTCTCGATTGCTTCATCAAGAGTGGGTTCTTGGTTAGTTTCAGTAAGATCTTTCATTCTGGAAATAAAATGAAAAAATACTAGCTGGGATGACAGAGATGAAAAACAAGCCTAAGAGAATTACACTGTCCAATAATTAATATCTTATAAAGGGTTCTTTTTAACTGTCTAAAGACTGTTCGTTTTGAATAGCCAACCAGTAAAGCAGAGTTAGCAAATTGAAAATAGTAAATTCAATATTCTATCGAGATAGAGTATGCAATTCACTTTACCATCTTTCTATCTGTTTGGATCTCACTATTTACCAGAACCTGTTTTTTTTTTTCTGAACAATGTTCAATGCAAGTTTTTTGTATTTTGAGCATTACTGAGTTACTTTAATAAAAGTACCTAATTTTAACTATCTACACAGCACATAAAGCCTCAAAGACGTCTTTAATGCGTTTGAACGTCTGAAGACCTAGAAGACGTTTATAGGATGTCGAAAGTATCTCATAAAAACGTTCTTTCTTTTTAAGATGTCTACAAAAACTTTCCAACTAGCTTCCCACAGAATTCAGTTCTAATTTAATTTAGAAGTTACTGGAAACGATTTAAATTGCTACAGAACACTTTAGAACTTTAATAAGCCTTCTGGAAAGTTCAAAACACTTAAAATTCAACTTCCAAAAGCATTCTGTAGGGCTTCAGAACAATTTGGGAACTCCAGAACCATTCTAGAATGCTTCAAAACATTCAAAAACCGATTTACAATTTCCAAAAGCATTTTAGAACAATTCAGAGGTTTGAAACCCATTTGGGACCCTCCAAAACACTCAAGAATCTCCAGAAACATTTTGAAAAGCGCTAGAATCTTAGGATTCATGGTAATAGTTACAAAACACATTGAAGAGCGAATTTAAATTGCTTTAGAACTTTAAACCTTTAATAAGCATCCAAAACAGTTCAAATCCAAATCAGAATTTTCAGGAGCATTTTGGAACAATTTAGAAACTTCAGAGTTATTTCAGAACAATTAGGATTCAATTTAGAACTCCTTTGAACCAATTTAGAACACTGTAGAGCTTCAATAAGGCTCTAAGAATACTTGAAAATCTGTCAAAACAATTTAGAAATTACCGAGGAAATTACTGAAAAACTTCTTAAATGCTCCAGAACCCTTCAAGCCAAGTAAGAACATTTAGAGCATTTTGAAAGGCATCAGAACAATTTAAAAACCTCAGAATTAATTCAGAGAGCCAAGCACCTGTAATAAACAAAAATTGACAGTCTTGATTTTTCCTTATTCCCTATTCTCAGTATTCCCATATTTCAGAATTTCAGGCTCTTGATTCTTTTTTTAATTTTTACTCCTGGCTCTTTCTAATGTTTTTCTTCCAAAATGATTCAAAATTAATTTTGTGTATGTTTTCATTTAAAAGAAATCAAGAATCTAACAGCCTAGCGTTTGAAATAGACAAAAACTGAAAGTTATAAAATGAGTAATAATTAATAATAATAAAATATTAGTCCTGACATCTGAAAGACGTTGGGTTTTGTAACATACATCTTCAAGATGTTTTGAAGACATAAGCAGACTAAAAGACGTCTTGATTGTCGTTTGTGGACATCTTAGAGACATCTTTAAGATGTCTCTGAGCTGTCTGGGTATAAACTCTTAGCAAAATTTAATAGGTAGATATTCAAGTTCATAAATTATACTAAAGATCAAGGTTTCTTAATTATTCATTGAACAACAAAATATTTCCTGGTTTAATGATAATATTATATCAAATATCCTAGCAAATATTTAACACAAAAATCCAAAATAACCACTTACAACAGACATATTTATTCGATTCACAATCACAACATACAGAACAAACTTTAATTATCAATCAATAATAATTATTTTTAATTTGATAAATAATTGATCCAACCTAGAACATACCATCACACACATGCACAGCGAATACTCTACTGACGAGGCTACGAGCATGGCTAAAAACCAATTGAAAATTTTACATTAAAAGCAGATTAGGCAAGTTTCGATATTCATGCGGGAGCTTTTGAAATGTTAATGAATACTCGAAAACTGCATGTTTAATTATTACATCATGCTGATCATCACGCATAACGGGTTTACGGACAGTTAATTACTCTTGACAAAACGTGGTAGGGTCAAAGATAAACCTGGGATATTCTAGCAAAAATATTTATATTGGTGACTCATTAATTACGATATTAATTTATTTTATGAAGATAAATTACTCGATAAATTATCATTTATTATGAAATTTTGTATATTGTTATAAAAATGTTGTTTCGATATACCTATTTACCTCAAACATACACGAATCTATGCTGCTTTCATTAAACCTAAGTGTTCATCTTTTGATCACTGTTCAACACAAATTATTTCATAATTAATTCGAAAAATTAAAAATTTGCCCAAAATTCAAGGAAAGGAAAAAAAAGTAAACAACTTTTTTTTAGGTTAGAAAATCAATGACAGGAGCGGTTCAGTCATGTGACGTCACCACAGATGCTACAAGTGTTAATTTACCGTTATTTTGTTCCAATATACGAATTTTAATATGCTTCTGACTTTTTGTGTTAATAATTACCATAAAAATTACTAAAAATTCAATATTCTCTATTTAAACTATTATTCTGCCGCTCGCAGAAAGCATCCATGATGACGTCAAGGACATCCTCCTTCACTCTCTCTTATAATCCTTGGTATTCTACTTGTCTTTAGAATTTCTAACCTCAAACTTTCCTGTTGCATGTTGCAGGCTGTGTACACATTTATTTTTAATTTTTAAATGATTTGTTTATTTTGAAAGTATTAAGTAAAATAGCTTTAAATTGTGATGTTAAAAACGTGTGCCCCTGCGAGACATGTCGATCCGACCAGTGTCACCTTTTCAGTATTCACTGAAAAAGATATTCGAGACTTTAGTGTTCTTCAAATTGTTACCCCCTTAACTTTGGACTCGCTCGGGCATCCTGTTTTGGGGGGATTGTATGATCATCGGTAAGAATTATGGCACTATATTACAAAGTATTGTATTTTTATTTATTATGAATATTTTGTGAAACACCTTTCTTTCTCTAGGTATATTAAAATCAAGGGGTTTTTCACCTAACAAAATTTGTACACCGATTAACAGTACTAACCTCGGTACTAACTGAGATATTGCCATGCATTAACAGATATTTCTATGTACCTAATAATAAGTTATTGCCAACTATTTCCATGTATTAACAAAATATTTCCACATATTGCCAGGTATTTCCCTAGTATTATCACATATTACCAGGTATTGCCATGCTATTGATAGACTAAAATCAAATATTTGTCTTGCCAGAATTCTAGGTATTGACTTATCCACAGGTATTTACATGTTATTAATGGGTATCAACCAATGACATTAACATATATTGCCTAGATATCTACAAGTATTGACATATTATACCTACATAATTAACAAGTAGGTATTGCATAGTATTGACACTATTGACATAGTATTTACCTGGTATTGACATAATTTTAACCAGTGATTTGTACACCGATTAACAAGGTGAAAAACCTAAGGAAGACCCCTCGATTAAAACTAAAATTAAAACAATATCCAAGTCAAAATAATGACATGACTGACCTCAGTTTCTGGATTTTTCTCATGGTCTCAAGTCTGCTTTGGAGTATCCATTCTACCTATATATTGAGTATTGTATATTTAAAGCTACGTCTACAGGAAAAGCAACACATATGAACATTGTGTTTATGTTGCTTGTTCCTGGAATTTGTTTTTGTATGTTTCCAAAAGTTTATTCAATTTGCTTATTGTTTACGGTTGCAGCAACAAAAGTTCCTATAAGTTGCTTGTTTCCATATTTAACGACAAAATAAGAAAGGAAATATAAAAATATTAGTAAACACTAATTTGTTGTTTCTCAACTTCAATTTTATCAGTGTGGGCACGTTGTTGCTTGTTGCCAAAACTCAAAACATATATGCTTTTCACTTATTATTGGCGTAGCATTATCCATGGAAATTTGGCAGGTTGACCCTTGTATAATAATGACAATATATGTCAAATTCGAGACAGTTTTAAGTGTGGTTTACACGAGGGTTTACATAATTTCGTAAGTGCCGCGGTATTAAAATTTTCTGGCCTATCTGGCAAATCAAATTTGACACATTTTTCAATGCAGTTTTCAATAATGCTATATTATAAACGTTACCTAACTATTTTGCGTACCTGCAAAATCTAATGACATTTTTTAATAGCTATTTACCTAACAAGTGCGGAAAATGAATTTTTCCGCACGCGGCTGCCGTCCGAGTGCGGAAAAATATTTTCCGCAAGTGTTAGGTACAATATTTTTCCTACAGGCGAAAAAATGTAAATTTTTTTTTTTTTTTTGACATATCAGTCCGGTAAAATTTTTTCCGCACCGACAGCCGTGTGGAAAGACAGATACTATTATGGACCGAATGTTTAAAGAAGATTTACAACGACAAAGTTGGAAATACAATTCTAAAAATGAATATTTTACATTACAAACATTACTGACATACGTAAAAGAAAATTTGGAATTTAAGGGAGGGCAAACAAGTTTATATAAAATTTTAAAATCTATGGGATATAAATTTAAAGCACTGAATGGACGCAAAATTTTATGTGAGCAGAAACATGTTCTTGCTGCCAAAATTACATTTTTGCGGAAATACCTCCAATATAAACATTCAAACGAAAATATCAGATTCGTGTGTTTAGATGAAACTTGGATCTACCAAAACGGATCTCAAGTTCGTCGATGGATACACGAATCTGATATGAAAAGCAACCCATCCAAAATTAAGTCAGAGGGGAAACGTTTTACTATTTTGCATGCGGGGAGTAGTTCTGGGTTTTTAGATTTCTAGATTCAAGAAACAATGACAGAGACTACCACAATACCATGAACGCGGACATCTTCCAAAAATGGATTGTTGATCAACTAATTCCTGCATTAAATATATTTGAAGAGAAATGTGTAATAATCATGGACAACGCTCCATATCATTCAGAGCGGAAGGATAAACCACCTTACATTACTGTTATGGTTACGTTTAATTAATAAATTGAATAATTTTACTATTTGAATTTACTCAGATATTTTACACATTCTGCAACTCGGCTTTCTGTTTCATAACCCTGAAATTTGAAAAATATTTTGTCATCAAATGTCATTATTATACAACCTGTCAAATTTCCATGGATAATGCTACGCCAATAATAAGTGAAAAGCATACAGTTCTGCTGTGTTAAAGTTGTGTGTCTGTAATGGTAATGTAAATCGTTGTCGCACCACATTGTTTTGAAACTAGGAACACACACTACACTGGTATAGACACAGCATTCACTGTTGCAACACGACGAAACATTCACTAAAATAAGTAACCATCTCAGTAACCATGGACCATGGTGTGGACAGAAAATGGGACAGAATGTTTTCGCAACTTTTGCTGTTGTTTCTGTTTCCATGAACAGGTTGCGGCAACTATCGACAAAATGTTTCTCTGTGTTTCTTTAGTGTGGACCTCGGTGTGGACATACTTACTTAACTTAATATTGAAATTAATGAAGAAATTAATGGCATAATTTACAATTTACATTTGGTTGTTACCCAAGCTGAATTTGGATCATAGAATACCAGAGAGCATACCTTAATTTAAAATATATTGGCTTATCTCATAATGTAATAATTAACAATAACTAGCTGTTAACATTAATTACTGCTTTCCATTTTGAGAATGCCATGCACTTCTGGGTTTTTGGAACAAATCTGAATGTTTTCATTTCAATTTGCCAAATTTTCAGTCTATCCATTGAAATGCCATCAGGAAAAAAAATTCTACGAAAAAATTGAAGTTTAGCGAATAAGGTTTTCAAGACCAAGAAGTATTGGTTCTTGTTCTTATCAATACCCATTGCTAGACAACTGACCATTGAAATTGTTACATATTAAGTACTTTATCATAAGCTGATGATGTTTCCCTCGATGTTTCCTCGGATGATTCACCTAAATATTTAAATATTATATTTGTTAGAGAAATGATTTGAGTAGTTGATAATTAATTTTTACTTATCAGCTTCCATACCAGCATATTTCAAATTTTCCACACCCACACCATCCTCTTTTCCTATGTCAGTGATTCTATAACGAGATTCGCCTTTGTCATCAATCAATTATTGTACTTTAACATCTTTATTTAACCCTGAGGGGGTAACCACTCCTACAAAAAATGGACACGTATTGCGACAATCCTATGATTTCCTGGCAGTCGCTGCGATTTTCGAGACTGTCTGATGATTTAAGGAGATTGTTGAGGATTGCCATGAAAATCGCAGTGATTTCCAAGGATTGTCATAGATTTCCTGGTGATTGTGGGTCTGCCAAAATGATTGTGGGACTGTCAAAAAGATTTCTTGAGGGATTTCCAGAAAATGTGATAGAATAATAATGTAGTAGAACTTTCAAATAATTAAATCAATGTATGGTTCATAAGTCAAGCCTAAAAATATCGAGAAAAATATAAACTTATTTACAATTTGAATATCGTCTTCTCTAATTTTTCCAAAATTCTCCCAATGTACCATGTTTCATATTACACTGCATATTTCTCACAATGGATGTCTTTTGCTCTGATATTTTGATTCGTACATTTTTTTCTTGATTTTTTCATTGTCTGAGGAGTTATTTAAGCCAGCCAATTTAGATTCTGGAGCCGAGTCTTTAAGATGTCTATCAGGTCACGATTTTAGAGCGTATATACACGTTTTTTTTTTTTTTCTTTTATCTTATGCTTTTCTCTCAGGTTCCCATAGGAGGTTGTCATCCCTCTGCGGCAAATCTCCTATCAGATGAAAATTTTAATCTATATATATAAAAATTAATGCCACTTTTCGTTGTAATTTTATAACTCAAGAACGGGCTCACCTAGCCAAACCAAATGTTCAGGCTTTGTTCGGACTATTTATTAGATGGTTTATGTGAAGTTTGCACAAAATCGGTCGAGCAGTTCTTCATTTATCACATTTTTTGTAATAAATGAATTATTCAATAAATGGAGGATCATTTTGTTAATGGGGATTTTGCTATCAAATTGAAACTTTTTTCAGCGTTGACAGTACCAGCATGTCATTAACATAGCTCATTAATGTGGTCATTTCATTACTATTTTATTTATTTACGAAAAAAATTTACTAAGCCCGCATACGGCGCCATCTCTTATAACCGATACCGAGTTTATTTTGTATTTTGTATACCGCGCCATCTCTGATACCTGGAACGAAGCTCGGCATTGCAGATACAGTAGAACAATGCTGCTCAGGAACTGGAGCTATTTCGAACAGAACTATTCCACTATTCCGATCAGATAGAGTGGTGCAGAAAGATTAGATCAGATAGAGTAGTGCAGATAGAGTAGTGCAGATAGAGTAGAACAGATGGAGTAGTGCAGTGCATGCAGTGCAGATAGAGTGAAACAGGGCTGCGCTAGAGATTTTTTTTGTTTTCTTCACATCCTTTGAACATTCCTGTGCCTGAGTTTATTTATTTGGTGGTACACTTTACAAGAATAATGCCCACAAGCTGCCTTAACAGGGATGATGTAAAATTTTAATTTTAGGTGACTTCTGATCTAGAGAGAAAAGATTAATTTTCTTCAACCAAAGCCAAATTCACCATCGAAAAAAACTGGATTTAATTCAGCTAATAGATACGTTAACACAACATTTAATAGATATTTTATAATTCAGAGGCGGTACGAAGTTCGCCGGGTCAGCTAGTTTTTTATAAAAAATAACCAACAGAGAGTGGACTTTCGAACGAGCATTTTCCTTGCGTTAACAATGATATTCAATCTAGAAATATTATTGGTCTTTTTCAACGTCTTATCACTATAGTCCTTGATACTTAAAATGTCAAAGTTTTCAAATAAATTGACTTCTGAATCTTCAGTGTGAATTTCAGTGGCTTCTGAATTGTTTCCAACTTTAGTATAGTCACACTATCATTACTATCAATAGAATCTTCTTGAACTTCCTCAACTAAATCTATTGGCAAGGGGCAAGAATAATTCAAGTAAAGTTGTTCAGAATCTTTCAAAACCAAATTAGATTTCATTTAAAAAAAGATAATTTCACTTTTACTTAAGTATGTTTTTTACTTCTTTATAATACGAAAATTGAGAAAACGCAGCATTTTACTTATAATTACCTATCTACCACTACATGTTGTGTAAAAGTTGGGGAATCTTTTACACAACACGTAATGCAACATAAAAATTGTGATAGACGCTATTAAACACTCCAACCAAATAAAAAGGCACCAGCGTATATCCTATTCACAATCCGTAGTCCAAAGGTAAAGGTAAATTTATCACCTTTCCCTATCAAATAGCACTGAATGGTGATAAATTTTACCTTCACCTTTGGACATCGGATTGTGGATAGATAATAAGCTCCTAGTTTCTCCCACTACCTAAGAATGTAGATGATTGCCGCAATTGTCGCAAGATTGTGAGATTGCCAAAGTGATTTCCGCGACCGCCACAATCATTAAATACACGCCCTTTCATGGGATTTTCGTGACTGTGAGCGCGATTATGAGACTGCGAAGCCGATTACGAGACTGCGAAAGCGATTGCGAGATTGCGGAATGGATTGCCAGCGATTGTGGGGACTGCCCATTGGTTACCTCCTCGTTTAACCCATTTGAATTTTTGATAAAAATCAATTTCAATCGTTGATGAAAATAGTACATACCTACTGAAAATAGTACATACAATAATTTCCCTACCATCAGGATATAGTCTAAAGAGTTAGGTAATTTCCAAGCAACTATTCCAACATTGATTCCACCTAAAATGCAATGTTTTCAAATAAAAAGCTCAAGTAAAAGGCATATAGTTTGGGAATCTAGAAAATATGTCTGAATTGATATTATGTGAGCTTCTGTAATGTGCTTTGCATAATATCAATACCAACATTTATTTAGATTAGGACCATGTGGAGATCGTACCCTTCCCTGTGGCACTTGCAACAAAAACTCCACATTTTGCCCAGGCCATTTCGGATTTATTGACCTACCGGTGCCATGTGAAAACCCTCTATTTCATAAAGTATGTATTTATTATCACAAATTATTAGTATTTTAAAATAGTTGATATTATGCAGGTCATTGGTACTCTCTTACGTTCCTGTTGCCTGTCGTGCTACAAATTGCAATTAACAGAAGAAAGCAGAAACAAAATTCAAGCTCTGACTGAACAAGAAGATGGCGAACTTGTGCAAATGGCTGTTGTTAAATTAATCACAGAGGAAATCAAATCAGGAAAATTGTGTATTTTCTGCAAAGAGTCTGTAGATAAAATAACGGTTTTGGCTAATAGAATTTTAATTATTACCCGAAAACAAGACAAGTAAGAATTTGATTTACTATTCAATTCTTTATGCTATCAATGATTTTTAGACATGAGGATTTAAGAGGTCCTATGAACAAATTGGCGGTTTTAGAATCCAAATATGTGAATCCTTCCGAATCTAGAAATTATTTGAGGGAAATTTGGAAAAATGAAGAAGATTTAATTAGGATAACTGTGCCTGTATTAAATAATATTGACTCCCTATATCCTACTGATGCATTTTATTATGATGTAAGCACAAAAAAATATACCAATATATTTTCAAATAATCATTTATATAGGTCATTCCTGTTCCTCCCTCAAACGTCAGACCAGTTAACTACCTTAACGGAAGAGTGTTAGAAAACCCTCAAACCACAGTATACAAAAACATCCTGACAAACGCATTGGTTATGAATCATTTAATTAAGGTAGTGCAAAAGAAAGGGGATTTAAATGTTTTGGCATCCAAGGAAGCCAAAGAATTTTATGAAGCGGCAAAGGGTAAGGATCCTCTGGAGAAATTAAATAATTGCTGGGAGGATTTACAAGGAGATGTGAATGGGTTGCTGTCAAAAGATTCGGGAAGAAGTAGAGAGGGCATAGGACTTAAGCAGGTAAGGATTTTTTACATTACATTATTTTGTATTTGAGAAATCAATTTTTGATTTTTGAAAACTTTGAGAAATCATAATTTGTTTCTTATTATTGTATACACATATGTAATTGTTATTATATTATAGCCATGACGAACGAAAAAAAAAAGCTCTGGAAGCTTGATTTTGTAAAAGAGTAAAAATTTTGAAAAATAACCTGGTTGTTTCCCAATTATTCAAACACTGTTATAGATTTTCTTTCTTGACAAACAAATCCCAAATCTATTACAGATTATTGAGAAAAAACAAGGTATAATCAGGCAACATATGATGGGAAAAAGAGTAAACTTCGCAGCTAGATCCGTCATAACCCCAGATCCCAATTTGGACGTTGGCGAGCTTGGAATCCCCGAAGTTTTCGCTAAAAAACTAACTTACCCTGTACCAGTAACTCCTTGGAATGTCGAGCAGTTGAGGGAACTGATCAAAAACGGCCCAGATGTTCATCCCGGTGCAGTGCTTGTGGAAATGGAAGATGGTTTTGTCAAAAGAATTAATGCTAAAGATAAAGTACAGCAGGAGAGTTTGCTAAAGATTCTCTTAACACCTCATAACCAACGAAGAAAAGGGTTTCAAGGAGTCAAAATCGTTCATAGACATCTACAAAACGGGGACATCCTTTTGCTCAACAGGCAACCCACTTTACATAAACCCTCTATTATGGCTCATAGGGCCAGGATTTTAAAGGGCGAGAAAACCTTGAGGTTACATTATGCCAATTGCAAGGTAAACTAATTACTTTTATGAAGAACTGTTGCTTTATAGGTGATTTCAGGCCTACAATGCAGATTTTGATGGTGACGAAATGAACGCACATTTTCCTCAAGACGAAGTGGCTAGAAGCGAAGGATATAACATTGCTGAAGTAGGTACCTAACTACAAGGAAATATTTTACCAATCTATTTTACTCTATGAATTATTATTGAAACAAATCCTTGTGGACTTCCTGAAATAAACATAATGTTTTGGTCAGTCTTACATTTAATAAGGCTAGAAAAGCCAATCAACTTTTTTTAAGCACAAAGCTTCACATTTTTGTGTATAAAATAATTTTTCACTCAGGTATTTTATGTAAGAATAATTATCAATTTCCTTTAAAGGTGGCTCAGCAATATTTGGTACCCAAGGATGGAACCCCTCTCAGCGGCCTTATACAAGATCACATGATTGCTGGTGTACACTTGTCAATAAGAGGAAGATTTTTTGGCAGGTATTTTTCATTACACAAAAAGATTATCATCGATAATTCAAAATAATTTTTTCAGGACTGACTATCACCAGCTAGTCTTCCAAGCCCTTTCTCACAAAACCGACGAAATAATATTGTTACCTCCTGCCATTTTAAAACCTGCCCCATTTTGGTCTGGTAAACAAGTTTTATCAACAGTTATCATAAATGTTATCCCCAAAGGACATGCACCTATTAATTTGACATCCACATCGAAAATTTCAGCTAAGGCTTGGCAGAAGGAAAAAGAGAGAAATTGGAAAGCTGGAGGAACACCTTTAAGGTCTGTATATCTGCATAATGTTAAATTTGATAGCCATGATACATAGAATTTTCAGAAATTCCAATGATATGAGTGAAGCAGAAGTTATAATAAGAGGAGGAGAATTGCTAAACGGGATCTTAGACAAAACCCATTATGGAGCCACACCATTTGGTTTGGTGCATTGTATTTACGAGCTGTATGGTGGCAGCTATGCCATAAGGCTTTTGAGTTCTCTAGCTAAAATATTTACAAGATTCCTGCAACAAGAGGGATTCACTTTGGGCGTGCACGATATCCTTACCCTTCAACCGGCAGATAAAGAACGCAAAAAAATTATCAGTGAGTCAAGAAAAATTGGTAAAGAAGCTATAGCAAATGCCTTAGAAGTGGAAAACTCCATGAGCATAGAAGAAATGGCTGAAAAGATTGAGGAACGTTGTGCCGTAGATGCAAAATTTAGACAAATAATCGATAGATCATACAAGACTTCCTTGGATTCGTTTACGAACGCAATTAATAAATGCTGTCTTCCTGCCGGATTAATTTGTAAATTTCCTGAAAATAATTTGCAATTGATGGTACAGTCTGGCGCGAAAGGATCGACGGTAAATACTATGCAAATTTCTTGTTTGCTCGGGCAAATCGAGTTGGAAGGCAAGAGACCACCTGTTATGATTTCAGGTGAGATACTTGTTGGTTGTTGAGTAGTTTTTTATGCTTTGTGAATATCTCGAAGCTACCTTCTTACTAAAACGATAAAATTTCAATTTTTTTTGTTGAGATTTTGTGTCCTAATGTTCATTTGGGATCCCCCAAATTCCATACACTGAATTAATCTCAGATTTGAAGCCGAAATCTATGCAAAAAGGCACTCAGAAAAATTGAAAAGTTGATAAATCACCCCAAATTACTTAACACGATTTTATCTCAGGAACTATAAGTCCAAATGAGCTGAAATTTTCAGAAATTGTAGTCCTCTATTGGGATAAGAAATCGCTGAAAATTTCAGCTTTCTATCTTAAATAGAAAAAAAGTTATGACCTTTCAAAGTTTTCCAAAATCTAAATCATCTTCTTACTAAAACGATGAAATTTCAATTTTTTTTTTTTTTTGAGATTTTGTGTCCTAATGCTCATTTGGGATCCCCCAAACTCCATACACTAAATTATTCTCAGATTTGAAGCCGAAATCTATGGAAAAAGGCACTCAGAAAAATTGAAAAATTGATAAATCACCCCAAATTGCTTAACACGATTTTATCTCAGGAACTATACGTCCAAATGAGCTGAAATTTTCAGGGATTGTAGTCCTCTACTGGTATAAGAATCGCTGAAAATTTCAGCTTTCCATCTTAAATAGAAAAAAAGTTATGACCTTTCAAAGTTTTCCAAAATCTAAATCATAAGGAGCTACCTTCTTACTAAAACGATGAAATTTCAAAAAAAAAAATTGTTGAGATTTTGTGTCCTAATGGTCATTTGGGATCCCCCAAACTCCATACATTAAATTATTCTCAGATTTGAAGCCGAAATCTATGAAAAAAGGCACTCAGAAAAATTGAAAAATTGATAAATCACCTCAAATTGCTTAACACGATTTTATATAAAAAAAAAGGTAGCCTCAGTCAATACCATGTATTTTGAACAATAATGTATGTTTTGATTTGATTTAGGTAAATCATTGCCAAGTTTCCCAGCCTTTGAATTCACTCCGAGAGCCGGAGGCTTCATAGATGGTCGTTTCATGACCGGAATTCAACCTCAAGAATTTTTCTTCCATTGCATGGCTGGTAGAGAAGGACTTATTGATACTGCTGTAAAAACTAGTAGAAGTGGATATTTACAGAGGTAAGCTAAATTATGGCAAAAATTTAAAATTCTGTATTAATGAAAATTATTTCAAGGTGCCTTATAAAACATTTGGAAGGTTTACATGTTGGTTATGATTTAACGGTGAGTTTTTTCGACTATCAAGTTTGTTGTAAATTTAAAACAATAATTTAGGTTCGAAACAGCGATCAAAGTGTAGTGCAATTTTTATATGGAGAGGATGGTATGGACATATTTAAAAGTCAATTTTTCGACGAGAAGCAGTTGCAATTTTTACAAGACAACTCCAAATGTATCATTCAGAAAGATATTTTGAAAAAACTAGAAGAAGATGAAGATCAAAAGTTGATTGCTGAGTACAAATTGAAGGTGCAAACTTGGATAGAGAAAAATGGACATCCCTTGCAAAAAGAAAAAATTTCTTCCTTTGCACATTTTTCTGAACAACTAAATAAACAATTTGGAAAGGTGGTTAAAAGGAAAAAAACTGAAAAAATGTGGCTGGAAGCATCGGATGAATTAAAACAAACTATTAAAAGCCAATTAACATGCCCCGATCCCCTGAACTCGGTAAGTTATATATCATTTTTTTAAATCCAAATTTCTGTACTACTGAAACAATTTGGCAGGTTTTTCAAGCAGATCACCACTATGGAGTTCTTAATGAACGCCTAGAGTCAATGATGAATAAATTTGTTGAAGGCAAGAAGAAAAAAGCTAAAAAACAGTTTGAAAAAATGTTTCAGTTGAAGGGGATGCAAAGTATGTGTGCCCCTGGCGAACCAGTTGGATTATTAGCTGCACAAGTAAGAATTTTTGTTTAAATCTTACAACACAGTAAACATATTCTGCTAAAAGAGAAACACTTTCAACCTAAGTTTGTTGATTATTCTTGTAAATGTATATTAATTTTTTTTTCTCTGTAGTCTGTTGGTGAACCTTCAACTCAGATGACCCTGAACACCTTCCATTTCGCTGGTAGAGGAGAAATGAACGTCACCCTTGGTATTCCTCGTTTAAGAGAAATCTTGATGATGGCATCTAAAAATATCAAAACCCCTTGCATGGAAATACCTTTTAAACCCATTCCTAATTTAGAACAAAGATCTATGGAGCTTAGAAAGCGACTCACTAGGGTCGTAGTGGGAGATATTTTGGAGAAAATCGATGTTTCAGTATCGTTGGAATTACGCCCAACAAGGTACTTAGTTGTGGAATCTGATTTGTGTTCGTTTAGTATGTATTTTTTTTCAGGCATCACTCTTATACATTGAAGTTCCAATTTCTACCAGAGAAGTGCTACAATGAGGACTATTTGACCTCTACAAAATTAATCTTAAAGCACATGAAAAAGATATTCTTCAAAGAGATGTTTATTGCCATAGCGAAAGTATCCAAGGTTAAATCAAATTTGTAAGTAGGAACAACACCACTTTCTTTCCAATAATAATATTTTTTTTTTGTCAGAGTATCTATGCAAGAAGCTCCAAAAGATACCTTTGGTCAAGGTGATGATAGTGACGATGAAGAGGATGCTGGAAGTAAAGCAAAATCTAAAAATAAGAGGCCTAGAGTAGAAGCAGATAGTTCTGATGATGAGGTTGAAGATCAGGAAGATGCCAAGCTAACCAATAAACATCAGGAGCAGCAGGAAGATCAAGAACCAGAGGATGAGGAAGAGAAAAAAGATGCTCAAAGCGGTAAGAAGGAACTTGTATTTATGCGGTTTGTGATTTTGATTACACTTGCATAGCTTTGATTATTTGAGACTTTGAGTGTGATTTTTATTTTTTTTTTGAAATTTATTATAAGCTATTTGAGCCATTTTTCTCTGTATTATGATTAAATTATTAGGGTTTTCAAATAGGGAGAGGGGAAGGAAATCTCATTGGATTCTCGCTTAACCGGACATATAATAGTATAGTTTGGAGTGTTTGAGTGGTATTAAGACTTCTATAGAGATGTCCTTCAACACCTTCCCTCATTAGGAATTTTGATTTGAACAAAGCTTTTGTCAACTTATCAGCAACTTGAGTTTCTGTAGACGTTTTGTGTACACTCAAAGTTTCTTGTAAGACAAGCTTTCTCATATAGAAATGTCGAATGTGCTTGGTTCTCTTGTGGTTCCAAGGATCTTGTGTCAAACGAATAGCTGCCTCGTTGTCAACTAATAACTCTGGAATTTCTTTCAGTGTTATTATTTCTTCATATAATCTTTTTAACCATACAAGTTCTTTTGAAGCTTCTCTAGCTGCAACGATCTTCGCTTCGGTTGTAGAAATGGCAACTGAACGTTGTCTCTGACTCATCCAAGATTTAGTACCGCCAGCATAAACACATACCACTCCTGTTATGGAGTGTCCTGTGTTCATATCCCCTCCTTGAGCAGCATCACTAAAACCTTGTAGGTAACCTCTTCTGGTTCTTGGCTTGTAAGTGATACCATAATTGAGTGTTCCTTGAATGTAACGGAAAATTCTCTTTACTTGGACAAAGTCTGTGTGAATTAGATTTCCAAACTTCTTGACGTCACACTTACTGCATATGAAATGTCTAGTCTTGATCCTGACATCAGGTAAAGTAATGCTCCAACAGCCTTTCTATATGAAAAATTTGTTATTTCGGCTTTTTCTGGAGGAAAATTATCCTTAACAATTGGAGTTTTGACGGGTCTGCAAATGTTCATACCATATTTGGCATATGCATTTTGATTTATGATAACTGATCCATTCTTTCACTTCATGATTTCCATACCCAAAAAAATATGATGCAGGCTTTATCATGACTTCAAACTCTATCTGTAGTTGTGGTAGAAAATATTTTTTCATTTCCTCATTGCTTGAGACTAGTAGACCATCGTCCACATATAAAACTAAAATAAGAATTTCTGTTCCTTCCCTCATGAAGAGACATGGATTGGCACCGCTCTGTTCGAGGATAGAATGAACTCCGTTATTCTTCTGTTCCAACACCTAAGAGCTTGCTTAAGTCCATATAGATGACAAACCGTATCTGAACCATCATTGAAACCCTCTGGCTGTTTCATGTATACTTCTTCTTGAAGGTCACCATATGGAAATGCTATACATACATCAAACTGGCTTAGACCTAAATTTTCACTGGCAGACTCAAAACAGATCGTATTGTAGCAAATCTAGCAACTGGGCTACATTTCTCATCATAATCTTGATATTTCTTCTGTGAATAACCTTTTGCGACTAGTCTGGCTTTGAATTTATCTATAGAGCCATCTGGATTTTATTTTAAATTGTACACCCATTTATTTGGTATAGTCTTCTTACCATTTGGTTTCCTAAAGTCCAAACACAGTTCTCCTCTAAAGACTTTATTTTTTTTCCCATAGCCATTTTCCAGTCATTTGCTCTATTACTTGACATAGCTTTTCGGTGTGTAATTGGCTCATTTATTTCCATAATGTTTGCAGCAACCATCATAGCGAAATCTCCAAACCTGGCACGCCTTCGTATCTGATTTCTATCTCTCAGTTGTCTACTCAGTACATTCAGGACTTCTTCTGAAATGTCATTATCTGGTGATTCTACGAAGATCAGAACGAGGGTCAGAAAAACTGAGATTCTCCAAACTATCATCTTATTCGCCTTTTTGTCCATCGTTTTCTTTAGTTTCTTGTTCTGGAGTACCTTTTCTGCTCCTGACAATCTTACAATTGTTTTGCTGAGAAGTTCCAAGGGTCTTCTAGCAATGGCAACGTTGAAATTATGAGTTTTTCGTCGAATATCACATCTCTCGATCTGACTAGTTTCTCAGATTCTTCACACTAAAGCTGATATCTATTCTTCCTGACTTTGGTACATCGACATAACAGGATGTTCCAATAATTCTCATGTGTTTTAAAGAAGGCTTTTTCTCATACCACAGTTCAAATGTGTTATGTATTCCACAATTGAACACAGGACTTTCTAATGACTTTTATTAATTATAAAATAAGATACAATCAACGAATAAACGTGATTGACTTGACTAAAAAACTAAATTACTGATAACGTCAGCTTTTACAACAAAACAACACCTGCCAATATTAAAATAGGTCTTTTCAATAATCCAAAGTATACTACATTTCCCACCTTGTTTAAAGATCAAGTCGCGACACTTTTGGGGTAGCTGGAACCCCTTGAGGGCTTTCACCAACAACACTTTCTATTCTAGGGTTAACACAACTAATTGGTGATGTTACAGAGTCTTGAAAACTAATTGGCGGTGGTTCTTCAAGATAAGGTTTGGGTGTCACATGAGGTAATATATTTATGTGTGATTGAACCTCCATACTCCCTATTAGAGGTGGTTGCCATTGCTTCAGTTTCAACTGGCACTGGAACTTCATTTTGGACTATTGACTCACTCAAATCAGATCTTAGGGAATCCGCATGAACAAACTTGATAAGAGGTCCAACGTGCACCAAATAAGTACAAAAACTCAAAATTTTTACAATTTTGCCTTTTTCCACATTTTGGAATTTTTGTTTTTAACATAAATAGCTTCAATAAGTTTAAACAACTTCCTTGCTTGAGGGACATTATCAGAGCCACCTTTAACATATTTACTATGACCCGAGGGTTTCAATAAATCAAACCGGGTTCTAGGTCGAAGTTTAAGCATACTTTGAGACGGTGGAATACCAGGGGTGCGATTTTCGAAACCATTCGAGTACATTTCGTACACGAAATTTGACTGACAGCAATGTTAATTAAATGGAGAGCAGTCAAATTTCGTGTACGAAATGTACTCGAATGGTTTCGAAAATCGCACCTCAGTTGTTGTTGGAGTATTTCTATAGGAAAAAAGGAAACTTGACAATTTTAGCAAAATTTGTTGCTCTGTAATGCTCTCTCCCTTTTCAGAAAATAGAGCCTTCTGTAATTTTTTTTTCACTGTTTGTACATACACCACGCTGTGCTAACCCATTACTAGGTGGGTGCCCTGGAGGACATTTTATTGGGGTTATTCCATTGGCTTGGCAAAAAGATATAAACTCAGCTGAATGAAAAGGTGGACCTCCATCAGACACTAGCTCTACAGGTAAACCAAAAATAGAAAAGATCTCTTTCAATTTTGCTATAGTTTCTGATGCCATTGTTTCGTGATTCATCTATTTGACGTCTAGCCATTTCGATCTTTGGTCATAAATAAGCAAAAAGATGTGATCAAACTTTTTTAAAAAATCAACAAAAATCCTATAAAAGTTATGAGGTGACTCTGGCCATGACAAAAGTGAAATACTGCTAGTAAAACTTTGACATTGTTGACAAATTTCACAAGAGGAAATAAATCTTTCAATATCATTGTTTATGTTTGGCCTCCAACAATATGACCGAATCAACATTTTTGAACGAACAATTCCTGTATGTTGCTCATGAAATAGCTTCAAAATATCTGACCTTAAAATTGGTGGAATTACCACTCTATTTCCAAACAAAATACAGTCTTGTTCTACAGACAACTCATTTCTAAGCCTAAAGTATAGTTTTAAATTCTCAGCAACAGTGCTTGGCCAACTTGACAAAATAAAGTCTTTCACTTTCAAAAGTAACACATCTTTATTTGTAGCTTTCCTGATATCATCAGAATTCAAAGGAATTTCACTGACGAGATTAAATGAATAAATAAATTCAGTTGCTTCTGTTTTATCAGGCAAAGGTAAGCGTGACAACCCATCAGCATTACTTATTGACTTTCCCTTTTTATAAATGATACCATATTGATATCCAGATAAAGTTAAAGCCCAATGTGTAATTCTAGAAGCAGCAGTAGTACGAATTTTTTTATTTTTAGCAAAGATAAACTGTAATGGTTGATGATCTGAAATTAGGGTAAATTTACGACCATTCAAATATTTGTGAAACTTTTTGACTCCATATATTATAGCTAAAGCTTCACGCTCCAAATTACTATATTTTTGCTCGCTTGGGCTTGATGTGCTTGAGGCAAAAACAACTGTTTTTTTTTTCGCCATTGACGATGTGACTTAGCACTGCCCCAATTCTATATTCACTAGAATCGCATGTGACATATATCGGTAACGACGGATCGTAACGTGTCAGTACACTATCCGAAGTCAAAAATTCTTTGCTTAGTTCAAAAACTTCATTACACTCCTCAGACCAGTCTCTGGAAAAATCAACCCCAGTCTTACACAGATCATATAACGGTTTTAATTTCGAAGTTACATCGGAATAAATTTGATGTAATAATTTATGAGTCCGAGATATGATTTTAATTCTGTCACATTTTTTGGAGTCGGCGCAGATTTAATTGCACGAATTTTATCCATTGTTGGATAGATTCCAGAACTATCCAGACAATGCCCCAGAAACTCAATTTTATCATTGTTGAAAAATAAACATTTTTTTTAAAATTTACTTTAACATTATACTGAGACAGTCTTTCAAAAACTTTAACATCGTTCTGATAATACTCTTCCAGAATGGAGCCCGACACTAAGATGTCATCTAAATAACATTTTGTTTAACTTAAGCCAGACAAAATGCCATCCATGATGGTCTGAAAAATACCAGGCGCTGCACTTATACCAAAAGTCTGCACTTATACAAAAAGTCAACCTCGTGTAAGCAAAAAGTCGCAGATGGGTATTTATGACTAGCAATTCCTGTGACTTTTCACTTATTCTAAGTTGCTGGTATGCTCCTCTCAAATCTATGATCGAAAAATATTTATTTCCACTCAGAGAAGCGAAAATATCCTCAGGAAGTGGCAAAACGCAATGGTCCGCATCCAGAGCCGGATTGACAGTTTTTTTAAAATCTACGCAAATCCTAATTTCGTCAGAATTTTTCTTTGGGACCACGACTATTGGACTTGCCCAATTACTGTAACTTATTCTTTTTAAAATACCAGACTTACACACACTTGAATTTCAGTTTCTACTTTGCCTTTAGCGCAAAAGGGATATCATAAGCTCTGTGAAACACCGGTTGTGCCCCTTCCTTGAGTTTTAACTCGACCATGACATTTGAAATATAAGCCTCTGTATTTTCTACAAAAACATCTTTAAAATCATTTTTTATTGTCTGAACTAAATTTTGCACTTTTGGATCTTCATACTAGAATTTTGATCCATTTTTGACTGGTTTTGACCTCCACTGACTTGCTAGAATCACTCGCTTGACCTAACCCTAACAAAGACTGACTATCTGAAGTTGACTTATTAGAAGCAGCGACCTTTTTGAAAGATAGCATTTTTTTCCAATCTGGGTTTAACACGCTTAGCCAGTTTCGACCGAGTAAAGGCTTGAACTTATGACTATTTCCTAATACTAATAGAAGGTAAATTGACAATTTTCCCATTAAAATTTACAAAAACATCAGTTTCACCTAGAACTTTCACTCCATCTCCCGTAAGGTTTCGTAATTTAAACTTGACATCAAAAAGAATCAATTCACTCAAATATTCTTGAAAATCATTTACATGTATGCCAGAGCGACATGCGCCACTATCAATTTCGAATAAAATTCGCTTACCTTCAACATCCAAGCTTACCATAGCAGGTTTCTCTGTTGCCTTGTCAGAAATCGAGGCTAAAAATCCCAGCTCAATGTCATCATCCCTGCCAGACTCACTAGAAGACTCATTTTGTATATCATTTAAAGCATTGACATTGCCTTTTTTACATACACGACTTGTGTGACCCTTCAGTTTGCATATGAAACATTCCCAAGACTTTGCAGGAATTTTTTCATGAGCATGTTTTTTTGTCACCTCCTTGACTTGAGAAACGATTTTTTGGAAGACCATTCGATCCACTGTTTTTTCTTTTTTAAAGCTAATTATCTAAATTTTCTGACATGTCACTCACATCGGAATAAATAGTCTTGACTTGACCCTCGGCGAGCACCATTGCTAGGGCCTCGGATGATGCTTTCTCAAATTTTAACCCGTCCATTGACAACAGCTTTTTCTTTATGGCTTGTGACTTCAATCCACAAACAAACTTATCACGCCACGCTTCTTTCAAAAATGCACTAAAATCACAATAAACCGACAGATTCTTGAGTTTTTTGATAAAACTTTTAATATCCTCTCCAGGCACTTGAACTGCTATTTACATATATCACCTACTTTTGGAATAAACTGCTCGATATTCCCAATCAAATTACTAGCCATTTTAGACTTTTAAAACGAATTTTTGTTTCAGAAAGTCAACATAACGATAATGACTGAAATCATCCTTGAAGAGCACGAAGTATCTATAGCCACTTTTGAATTTTTCAAAAGGCCCACAAATATCTGTGTGTAAGAGTTCTCCTGGTACCTTTACTCTTTTTTTCGTTCCAAACTTTTTCCATAAATACAACCCTCACATATTTCGCTGTCTAAGGTCACTTTGAAGTCAAACTGACGACTCAAAATATCTCTGATGTGTAGTTTGTTTTGATGACTAAAGCGTTCAGTTCATGATAGAGTTGCAATAAGTTATCATTTGAAACTATGTTAATTTGAGCTGTTTCCTTTGGCTTTATGATCTCCAATGCTAGTTTGTACAGTCCACCAAATGTGCTTCTTTCACCTGTCAGTATGGTTTTACCACCAACTATAAAACTGCATTTTTTAGTGCTTGTAACTTCGATGTAGGCTTTGAATCTTGTGCATGTAAAACCGAAATAGTATATTGTGTATTTAGGTGGAAAAGTGACACATTCTCGGCCGACCCTGTAAGTTGACGGGCGAGGCGTAGCCGAGGCCGGCAAACACCGAAGGCCGAGAATGTGCTTTTCCACCGAAATACACATACAATTTTTTCTGCGATCGGTTAAATACCTGTTAAATGTTTGTCTTTTAGTTCCAATTATTCAGCAATACGAGAATCACTTTCCCGGCCTAGGCCGGAAAAGTTTTTCCCGTATTGTTATTCATTGATTCCTTAGTAACTATTGAAACATAATTGAAATACCAGAATATTGAGTTTTGCGACCTGCCAACCGGTCAAAAATGCTGACATTTCTTGTCAATCGCAGAAAAATAAATTCTTTTTAATCAGAGGAACGTACCATACGTCTGATAACGTCAAAACATTTTGTCTGTTTTGAACTTTTGTTTGTACCAGAATGTTTCCTTTTCCAACTGCTTTAACCGTTTCTCCATTCGCTGTCGTTATGCGGTGAATATATTCAAATGTTTCAAAGATATCACCTCGATTTGTAATATGACTTGTAGCCCCATTATCCACAAACCAGCTATTATCCTCAGATTCGCTAAATAAGACACTACTTGTGTGATGTTAGTTGTCTTACTATCATGTTTGTATCCTTATTTTTCTATGATCTGTTATTTCTTGAATTTGAGCTTTCTGGTTTTGGAGGTCTACCATCTTCTTTCCATTTAATACATTGTTTGACCTTATGACCTTCCTTTTTGCAATAATTGCAAACTAGTTTTCTGTTATTGGTCGAGCTGCTTTTCTTTTCTGCAAGTACCGCCTCTTGATAACTTTCCTTATTCTTGTCTGATAATGCCGTCTCATGGGAACAAAGCTGATTTGTTAGGTAAATTGTCTATAGTCCTGTCAGATTTCGACATTAACATCCAGCTTGACTTGAAGGAGAAGTAGTCTTGGGGTAGAGTTTCTAAAATCTTACAGACTAACAGCAACTCACAATTACATGTTTTATTTGTAAGGATTTTGTCTTTTGATAACCGCTTTTGCAGTGCATTCCATAGGTTCTTGAGCTTAGACGTATGCATTGCCATATGATCTTCAACTTTCTTCTTAAAGTTGAAGAATTCCAAGTGACAGTTGTCTTTGAGGTGTTGTTGAGATGTCTTGGAGATGTTGTTGTTGTCTTGGAGTTGTCTTACAGATGTTGTTGAGATTGAGATGTCTTGGAGTTGTCTTTGAGGTGGTGTTGTTGAGATGTCTTGGAGTTGCCATTGAGGTGTTGTTGAGAGGTTTTGGAGATAGCGGGATAGTGGGTGGGGCTACCTGGAAATTGTCGAAAAAGCCGCAATTTGTACCTTAGCGTTTTCTTATGGAGATTTACATGGGGTTTGCTGCTGAACTGTCCTAGCACCTTCACTGATCTGCTACCATCTTAAGGTTTGATTATACACATACATACAAAGTTACATATACACATTGTTGTACTCACTTCAGATAGTTTGTTAGAATGTGAACAATATGAGAAAAGGATCAACTTTTTTTTTTCTGTGGCAATTCCTAGATGACGAAATGGAAGATCCTGACAAGCCCCAAACCTCCGAGGACACAGACAAGTCTGTAGTGGAGAACTACTCGTTCGCTAATTCGTACAAAGATGACAAAAAGCATCATTGGTGTGAGTTGATGTTTAGTTTGCCCATGAACTATAAAAAACTTGACTTGACTGCCATTTTGAGAGACGTGGCCAGCAAAAGCGTCATTTGGGAAACACCGAATATTAAAAGAGCGATTACGTATATGAAAGATCAAGAGCTTATGATGAGAACTGATGGGATTAATGTGGGAGAGATGTGCAAGTATCATGATTTGCTGGATTTGAATAGGTATGATGTCTGGTCATTTTTAGCACAAAAAATCATAGCATTTTTTTTTTCAGGCTATATTGCAATGATATCCATAAAATGGCGCTGACATATGGGATTGAAGCAGCTTCAAAAATTATTGTAAAAGAAGTAAGTAATTTTTGATTGATGCCCAGCAAGAAATTGCTAAATTTATCCTATTTTTAGGTTAAAGACGTCTTCAACGTCTACGGTATCAAAGTAGACCCGCGACATCTATCACTTATAGCTGATTATATGACATTCAATGGTTCCTTTGAGCCTTTGAGCAGAAAAGGAATGGAAACTAGTTCGTCACCTTTGCAACAAATGTCTTTCGAATCATCTTCACAGTTTTTGAAAACAGCTATTATCAAAGGTATGTATTATTTCTTTTTTATAATGTTTTTGTTTATTTTTTTCTTTGCATGTGTATTTAGGTAAGAGCGATGATTTGCAAAATCCTTCCAGTAGCTTGATGTTGGGAAAACCGTGTAATACTGGCACTGGGTCATTTACTCTACTACAAAAAATACCAGACTTATGTTTTTGATTTTAAGTTAATAAAATTAAATTGAAGTTTTATTTTTATTTCAATCAGTAGTAGTACCAGTGGAAGGACAAAATTATTGTCTATCCACAATCTGTAGTCCAAAGGTACAGGTAAAATTTATCACTTTTTAATGCTATTTGATAGGGAAAGGTGATAAATTTACCTGTACCTTTAGACTACAGATTGTGAATAGGATATACATATTGACTAATTTGAACTTGTATGGTGAAAATACAGGGACAAGCTTTTAAGTAGATGCTCAGTGGAACAAAAGTTGCGAATTTATTTTAATAACTTCATATCTATTGTAGATGGAAAGTTGAAATTTCTTATCCTCGTGGAGGACTACAATCTCTGAAAATTTCAACTCGGTGAGGCTTATAGTTCCAGAGATAAAATCGTGTTAAGCAACGTAGAGTGAATTTTTCAATTTTCCTGCATCCTTTTTTCAAAACAATTTTTCTTGTTCTTGAGGTGTTGTTTCTTGTATTGATAAATCTTTAAGCAAATTCTCAATATCATTACCCAGAAATGTAAAAATTAACAATAATTCAAGAAAAACAAAGGGTTCAGATCATTGACTGTTCGGTAATCATTTCAACCTAAATATTTGCTTTAAATACGTTTTAAAATGCATGTTCACTTATTTCATGGACATTATCGTGGGACGAAACATGCAAATTGTGGTAAATTTTAATTAATTGCTAACAACAATTAGATGTCTGAAACATTTTCAAGATATTTTCGTATTTGAATTAACTAAAAAGGATGTTTTAAAGGAAAACAAACAACATTGAGTATTATTTGAAATATTCTATAATAAAAAAATTTCAAACTCACTTTAAAAACTTGCCTAAAATCACAAATTATCTACCTAATTGGAAAATTTACAAAAATAAAGATAACCTAACGCAAAGATAGTAGGAATGTATGGACAAGTCCATTGCAACCTGGACACTATAACACAGTATAATGTTATAGCAACCCCCTAATAAATTGTATAGGTAATTATAACTAAAATAATTTTGGTTTAAAAGAACCAAACAACTGGTCTATCACAATTTAAGTTGAACCTAATTGGCAGTTTAAACTAAGAAGATATCTTTAACTGGGACTTTGTGGAATACTCGATTACACAAATCTTTGAAGATTTCACCAAAACTGATCTCGTAACCGTTTCTTACGTCGTTGAAAACTTCCAAGCTATTATCGTTTAGAACCTAAAAAAAAGTATTGGTTTTAAGAAAAAGTCCAAAAGATGGTAATCTTGAATTATTCGCTGTAGTAGAAGTTCTGCTTTACTAACCTTGTTCACAGTAGTTCCAAGTTCCTTATTTTGGCCATCAAACAAATTGTCAAATTTGAAAAGTACTTTTTCTGGGTTCATGGTTACTTTGAAATCTAGGGCTTTCATGTACGTTTTTCCTTTTTTCTCGATGTATTCGAAGTTCATTTTGTGTTTGATTCTCATGTTAACTGTATGCAGAAAAAAATTTATTAGCTAATCATTTATTTGTAAAGAACCAATAATAAACCGCATTTTTGTTTAAAGATACAAAAGTTGAAGGATGCAATTTATAATAATAAAGTCATAACTACATTAAGTGTCAACTATATTGAATATTTGCAAAAGTATTAGAATTCAATTATTGCAAACCACGCAAATAATTATTTAAATTTTCTAAAATAATACTTACCAAGAGTAACATTGCAGGGTCCATTACCAACAATAGGCAAAAGCAGCACCTGTCCTTTCATGGTATAGTCAGCTTCCAATCTGAGTTCTGGGCTCAGAGACTCTGCGATCATTTCCTTTTTTTCAAAATCAAACCTAAAACCAAACAAAAGTTATTTGTACGAAAATTAAAGGCAAACTAGTCGCTTACGAAGAGTTATAGACAACTGCATTGGAAATTCCGTGCAGTTTGACATTTTTGAAATCTTGGGCTACATTTACGGCCCCTTTGCCTTCTCCAATGTATAATCCTGGGATGTTTAGCGGGTCGCAACTTGCTAGTCCCAACTCAGGGATAGCTGAAACAACAACAATGAGTTCATATAATGAATAAACACTTTTTCAAATTAACATTCGTAATTGAAATAAATTGTATGATAATCCTATAAGATTTTCTAGAAAATTGCTTTTGTTCATTAAACATAGATAAACAATTAAAGTTTCTTGACCCGTACAATCAAGTAAAATTACATTTAACAAAATACTCGATTGACAAATTAGCATCATTTGAGAAATACTTAATATCTACAATTTGAATAATATGCACGCAAGGTTTGAACTTGACTCGTGCCGCGCTATATTGAAATTATGAAATCTTTTTCTAGATAATGATAATGATGATGGGTTCGTGTGGACATTTCATGGTTTAAACCGGGCTGACAATGTTTAAGTGGAGGTTTATCGAAAATTAATTTAATGGCTTTAATTGGCAATAAAAAAAGGTTGTTAAATAAAAAAAATACTTTTTGAGTAAAATTGTAGCAATTGAATAAATTTATGTTCGTAAGATAAGTATTCACTATAATAATTCCAAATAGGCCAATTGATTAGAAGCTTCAGTTTAGTGTTTATGCTCAGCGATCGGCTTAAACGACCTGGACGGGAAAACTGGCGGATAGCCAACAAAATAATTACAGCGGCGGTGGCCATAAAGGTGGCGGTCCTATCATTCCAGCCATTTAAATCGCCTGGGGAGGACGACATTTCCCTTGGGTCCTTATTCTTGAAACAGGGGAGCAGCGTTCCAAGGAGAACGAGTGTTCTGTCGTTCTCAATGATATGCAGCTGTAACAAGTAACAAAGACGGAACACTCGTTTTCCTGGGAACACTGCTCCCCTGTCTCAAGAATAAGGACCCAGCTCTGCTACACAACGGACTCGGGATTCTGCTACCATTCCTCAATATACACAAAAAACATCCTATGTACCACATAAACCACTGTTTCCATCCCAACCTATTAATATAACACCTAAAAAGGACTTATGTACCAACAAAGTTTCCACTTGTTCAGGAACTTTTGGCAAAAATTACAATAATGCCTTTCGAAAAAACACGAATCAACAATTTTCGAAACCCACATCTATGTCCGGAGTTTCAGTGCAACCACGAGCACAAAATCAACATCAATACCCTTCCAAATATACAAATTAATTAATAAATTAATAATATCTTTGAAATCGAATTACATTACCTGACCCTGACGAAAATTTCGAAACTGAAGAATGTTCCGAGAATCAAAATTAATATGAAGAGACAAATTTTGAAGAAAATCAAGTCGAAGCTGAAGACGGAAATTTTGGATGCAATGAGTCAGCATTAACTTTAAATGCTTATCAAATCAACCAACTGCCTTTTATTCAAATAGACTATCCACCGTGTAAATTATTAATTGACACAGGAAGTCACGCCTCTTTAATAAGACCCTCAATTGCAAAGGAATATTTTTCAAATTCTATAATTAATTCACGAAACAAGTTAACTACTTCCATGGGTACAAGAAAAACGCATGGAAAAATCAATGTCCCAATTTTACAAGAATATAATATTCAAAACAACATTGAAATGATTATGTACAATTTCCATGACTATTTTGATGGAATTATTGGAATCGAAGCATTACAAGAAAATAATTTAAATATAGATTTTTCTAATATGCTTCATTCTGATAATAAAACAACAATTCCGTTTCAATATAGAACAGATTTCGAAAATCAAAATTTTGAGATTCCAAGCAACCCAATTCAAGTATGTTATTTCAATACAAATATAGCTGATGGCATTGAAATACTTACACCACCGATAAAAAATGAAACGTATTATATACTGTCCACAATATAGCAACAGGCATAAACGAGACAGTAGCTATAGAAGTACACAACTTAATGAATAAGCCTATTATTGTCCCATATAACATAAACAACTTAGCAGAAATAAGTTTACCTTATGCTGATGAACAGTTTGAGATATTTAATATAGAACAAATGACTTCATTAAAAAATGATGAATATGCAAATGACCCTATAAAGTCGCTACGCATTAATCATTTAAACTCAGAGAAATTTGATGCTTTGAAACACGTAATATCTTTTCCTAAAATTTTCCACAAGCCAAACGAAAAATTGACATTCACCAATCACGTCAAACATGAAATTAAAACAACAGATGAAATACCAGTGCACACGAAAACGTATAGATATCCTCATGTGCATAAACAAGAAGTAAATTCTCAAATAAAGAAAATGTTAGAAGATAACATAATCGGACCATCCTGTAGTCCCTGGTCATCCCCTGTATGTGTGGATAGTACCTAAGAAAGAAGATCCCGCAGGCATACAAAAATGGAGAATGGTCGTTGATTATCGAAGGATAAACGAAAAAACTATTGATAATAGATATCCATTACCTAATGTCACGGATATATTAGACCGATTTGGTCGTAGTAATTATTTTACGACACTAGATTTAGCTTCTGGCTTTCATCAAGTCGAGATGCATGAAAATTCGATACCCAAGACAGCATTTAATGTTGAAAATGGTTACTACAAATTTAGCAGAATGCCCTTTGGATTAAAGAACGCCCCCGCAACATTCCAAAGAGTGATGGATAATGTATTACCAGGATTACAGAATAGAATATGTCTAGTATACATGGATGATATAATAATTTTTTTCTCCAAACGTCATAAAAAACGTCACTTTGTTAACTCCTGTCAAGATGTCAGAAATTTGATTTCTATGCTGCCAGGCAAATCCAGCGGGTTAACACCTGTCGAGGTGGTAGAAGTTTAATTTCTATGCTGCTTGGCAACTCCAGCGGCAGCAAAAGTACTTTTAGTGCCGCTCGTACTTTTACTGCCGCTCAACCATTCACTTGCCCCCGAGCTTACCCCATTAGTTTGGAGAAAAAATAGCGTGTTGCATACGGAGTAGAAGCACTTTTTTGTGCTTCAGCAGTATTGCAAGCCTAACTACGTTCGGCTCGCAAACCTACTGCTTCAGCACAAAAAAGTAAAGCTTCTACTCCTAATACAACAATATACTATATATTGACATGTTTATAATCAATAACCAGAAATTTCTGACCATTATTGATAGCTTTTCAAAATTTAGTCAAGTCTCTCCTGTAAATACGAAAACAGCTGTAGAGATATCATCACAGTTATTGAAATATTTTAGTGATCATGGGATACTTCAAAAAATCACATCAGATAATGGAACAGAGTCCAAAAATGCTATAATGACAGATCTTTGTAGATTATACAAAATTGAATTTCATTATACAACTCTAAGAAACCCGAACTCGAATAGTCCAATCGAAAGATTCCATTCGACACTACGTGAAAGTATAACGAGTTTAAAACTCCAAAACCTGAATAAGAGTATTATTGATCTAATGACAATCCCTATATTGAATTATAACAACAGTACTCCATAGTACAATGAATCACACCCCTTTTCAAGTGATTAAAGGAGATTTGAATTATGCCATACCAATTGAACAAACAGAAAATAAACTAACAACTGACTATATAACAAGTTTGGCAGAATCCCTTGCAAATTTAAATAAAGAAATTCAAGAAAAATTATTAGCGAAACAAACAAAGTCTTTAGAATCACGAAATAAAAATCGTGAACCCGAACCAGAATTACAAGATCCAATCTTTGTAAAACAATTTAATAGAGACAAGATAAATCCGCGTTATGATAGCAAAACACAGAATTGCTTTGCTAAACAAAATGTTAAACGACAATAACTTATTTCAGGTACTCCGAGATGAATCCTTTAGTATTCCTTACTCTCGTTAGAGTCACCCAAGCGTATACATTGATGACGGTAGAAAATCCTATCTTACCCATTTCCTTAGGAGCTACTTACGTAACAACTCAACATAACACGGCCTATTATGACACAAACACGACAATTATTATACAAAGTATCCATAAACTGGAAATTACCCAAATGGAATTATCTGACACTCTAAACAAAACAACATGGTCAAACCAATTTGTTGCACTGTTTCAAACAAATATTGAAAACAGTAATTCTCTGTTCTGGGTCTTTGACATTTGATATAAATCTCCATACCTCTGAGCATTTCCTTCCTCCTATGTAGGTGTTAATATCTTCAAATTTCTTAGCAAACCGAATTAGTTGAGTTGACAATTACATGCAAGTCTAGCGAACCTATTGTTTATAATCCATATCGTATGCCTGCATATGAAAAGAAAATACTCGACAAATTATTGCAAGAACTTCTGTGTAACGGAATTATAAGAGAATCAGAGTCAGCCTATGAGAGTCCAGTTCTTTTAGTGAAAAAGAAAACAGGTGATTATCGCTTTTGTATTGATTATCGCCGTTTAAATGCGATTGCCATCAAAGAAAAATACCCGCTTCCATTTATCGAAGATCAAATCGATATTCTGGGCGGGCATAAATATTTTATCACCTTGGACCTAGCCTCTAGTTACTACCTAATACTAGTGAACAAACATTCGATTGAAAACACCGCACTTATCACACCGTAAGTTCATTATGAGTTCACGAGGATGCCGTTCGGGCTAACTAATGCACCAGCAGTTTTTCAGAGATTGATGAACATGGTACTCAGTGGCGTAACTACAGGGGGGCCCGGGGCGGCCGCCCCCCCCCCCCAGACGTCGCTAGGCCCCCCCAGAAAAAACTTTAATAATTTGGTATTTTATGAAAGCTACGTTACCTATTATAATTTTATGTTATTACTAACTAAATTTGAACGGTAATGCGCGGCGATCCCGATCGACCCTATCCGATCCTCCGATCCACCAACGAACGGGCTGTGTGCAATTGTGCCACCCAAAGGTCAGTGCAAATTGCAATGTGCAGAAGTGATACAGTATACCAAAGCCATTAAATTAGCATTAGCAATATAACAGATTAGTTTGGGAGTTTGACTTAGGGCGGGTTTTATAAAACTACTTTGAGAGTTAACTTAAAGTTAACTTCTGAAATTACATGTAATTCAAAAGGTTAACTTCGAGTTAACTGTCAAAGCAGTTTTATAATACCCGCCCTTAATATTTTTCCTGTGAATCCGTGAATCGGTGTTGCTGATATATATTTTACAGTGGCTGATAAGCTGGGTTAGCTAGGTAAGTGATTTAACACATTCGCGGACAATTTCTAAAAGTATGTTGTGCTTGGAATGTCAATTTTTGTATTTCCATGTTTGGTATGGTAAATTGGTTTTAAAATTGGCCGTGAACTGGACAATTTTGAGGTGAATAGATACTGTGGCAGGACTGATAAATTGAAAATACATGTAGCTATATGGGATCAAAGACGGCTAGAGCCGTTATTTGTTTATAGAAGAAAATTGGGGTGACTGCTATCGACGTCATGTTCCAGGCAAGGGAGAAGAATATGACGGCTTTAGTAGCTAGTACTGATGTCCGCGAACGTGTTAAGCCCGGTTTAGTCAGCTAATCGCCTATATTTGCACTGTTCTACTTTTTTAAGGATTCCAATAAGTCGCAATAACAGGCCCCGGGCCACTGGCCCCAACTACAAGGGGGCATTGGAGTAGGTGCTCCCATGAGCAACCTCTCATGGGTACTCGGAGCTCTCGTAGAGAATGCGAAAGTACAAACGTATTTAATGGTCATTCCGTTCCGTGCGGTAATATCAGTATCATGTATGTAATTTAAATTTACACAACTTTGTATAAGAATTATACAAGTGGTATTAGTCTTAGATTAGGGAGGTATTAGTATTTTGTCCTTTCGTTATTTGTGGTCAATTCTATGCTCTATTACTTTATATTGCTAATGTTGCTATTCGCCATCTCTATTCTTTGATAATAATCGGGACATAAGGCATTTTAGGACATAAAAGTACCAGGCATAATTATTTTGATAATGATGTGATATTTTCATGGCCTAAAATGCGTGCACAAAAAAAAGCACTTTTCGCACGCTCGTAGAAAAAAAAATAGAAAAAGGACTATAAAATAGACGTTTTTAGGCGTGGCATCCGGAAAAAATTTTCGCCTCCGCCGGCGCCCACGGCGAGCTTCCCCTTCCCCTATAAACAAATTTATAAAAATATTATCCTGCACCTATGAGGACTTTCAAAAATCGGCGTCTCTGCCAGGCCCACCCTAGGCCCCCCCCAGATCAGATGGCTAGTTACGCCAGTGATGGTACTTAAAGATTACTTAAACAAAATTCTTTTGCCTACTTGGATGATCTTATAATTCCGACACAGTAAAGCAGGACGCGCACTGAATCGACTCGGACCGGTCGACTCGGCGAAGAGCATTCGGTAGTTTTTGATACTCATGCAATTAAATGAGACTCGAGTCGACCACGTCGAGTCGACGAGTCCGAATCCGTGCGCGGAGTCTCATTTAATGGCATGAGTATCAAAAACTACCGAATGCTCTTCGCCGAGTCGATTCAGTGCGCGTCCTGCTTAAGTGCCACTTCTTTCATTCTCAGATTGCTTATTTGGAGCGAGAAATCATGTCTCTGGGGTAAGACCTGGCAAGGAAAAAATTAGCGCCGTTATGGAAATGAAAGAGCCAACTAATGTGAAGGAAGTTAGGCAGTTCTTGGGCCTTTCTGGATATTTTTGTAGATATGTTCGGAACTATGGTGTGTTGGTGGAACCAATTCCAAGATTACTGAGGAAAGATGTATTTGCTTGGTCAAGTGAACAACAAGAAGCATTTACCAAGGTTAAATCTATATTAGTGTCACGGCCAATGTTGACAATATTTAATCCTGAGTGAAAGACCGAATTACACACGGACGCTAGTGGTATAGGATTTGGAGCCATGTTTATTCAAATTGATGATGAAAAGCCGCAAGTCGTAGCATACTTCAGTAAGCAAACAAGTCTTGAACAACGTACTATTGGTATGAGCAAGTATGAGTTAGAGACTCTTGCGGTAGTTTTAGCGTTACAAGTTTTTAAGGTCTATCTGTTAGGTATCAAGTTTGATATTGTTACAGACTGTAGTGCATTACGTGCTGCATTTACAAAACGAGATATGATTCCAAGAGTGGGCCGGTGGTGGCTCCAGGTACAAGATTACGACTTTTCGATTATTCATCGAGCTGTAACGGCCATGGGATATGCAGATGCTCTTAGTCGGAGTCCTATTCCGAGATCAGTGGCCACGATTGACGTTACAGAAGCCGATTGGATAGTAGCGGCTCAAATGCAATATGAGCAACTCCGACTCATGCCTACTATATTGAAGGAAGGGATCGTTAATAGATAAACTAATCAATATTTTGAAAAATAAGAATTACATGATGAAAAGATATATAAAATAATGAAAGAAGGCATGTCGCTATGGGTGGTTCCTAAGGATTGTAGATGGCAAATTTGTAGGCTTTGCCATGATGATGGATTCGAGAAAACTGTTAAAAAAATAACTGGAGAATTACTGGTTTTCGCAACTTCGGAAATATGTAAAAAAGTATGTGTCTTCATGTCTTTCCTATAAAAATCCTAGTGGCAAAAAGGAAGGGTATCTCCACCCGATAGAAAAGAAAAGGTTGCAATTCCCTTCCACACAATTCATATCGATCATCTTGGACTGTTCATAAAGAGTAAAAAACATAACAAGTACCTCTTAGTTATCGTGGACGGGTTCACAAAGTTTTACTTTGCTTGAAGCTGTGAAGGACGTTACTACAAAACCTGTAGTTAACGCTTTAACCAACATCATGTTTATTTTCGAGGCACCAACCCGAGTTGTGTCGGATAGAAGCACAGCATTCACTTCAATGACGTTCAAGACGTTTTGTGAAAAATATGTTTTAAAGCATGTACTAAATGCAGTAGCGACTTCAAGAGCGAACGGACAGTGTGTAAGATATAACCGCATGATATTAAACGCTCTGTCATGTAGCGCTGCTGGTGAGGCTGAAGACCGTTGGGATATCTTTATTAAAAAGTTCAAAGTTTATTAAGGGGCGATACTTTTGCTCTCGATTAACGAATTTGATCCGTTGTCAAACTTTTGCATGGGCCAAGGTGTATAAGTATGATGTGGTTAGAGTACATTCTAACCCCTAATTATTTTTACCGGCTGTCAAATGAGAGCAAAAGTATCAGCACTAAATTTGATTTTTAATTCAGCAATTAGTACAACACCTCTGGAAGCTTTGACTGGTTATAAAGGGAAAATATATATCTGAGGCTCGCGGTGCAAAAGGAATTGGATCGTACAAGTTTAGAAGAGCTACGAGAAAATATTTCAAGGTAACTGACTGATGACCAGAGAAAGAAGAAAGAGAGGTTTGACAAGTCCAGAAAAGCACCAAAGATATACAAGAAAGGCGAGGTTGTTATGGTCATGAAGAGGTTCAAGCAGGAAGTTATTAGCAAAGTTTAAAGGACCATTCAAGGTGACTATCGTCCTTTTAAACGACAGATATGAAGTTCAAGATTTGGGAGATTTTTCGGAAGAAGACAGTGGTTTCAGTAGATAAAATGAAACCGTGGATTATACTAAAAGGTGAGAATCCACATTTGGCGTAGGCGGCAATGTCAATCAATAGTGAGTCATGTAAAATAAGTACATACTATGAGGTATAAGGTTTATTATACATATATGATATGCACTGACTAAAGAAATTACAATGTGGGGTATTTGGAATGAGTACATACTATGAAGTACTAGGTCCAAACACTAACCACAACATGAAAATTATGGTTGAGGTAATTAATGTGAGATATTTGAAAAGTACATACTAAGAGGTACTAAGATCAAAATATTATGCACAAGATTGAGAGTCGGATGGTCTGATATGCCCACTTAACCATGGTTTATGTTAATGGTTGGTTACTAAGTTTCAAAGTCTCTATTTCAGATGGGGATCTGGTGGAATCTGAGGTCAGATCTGAATAGGATGGCCGAATGTTATGATAATTATGTAGGATGCGTCAGCGGACCCGAAAAAGAAGCGATTAGTCACCTATCGATAAGAAAAGGGTGTCGGTCGACTTAGGGATCATTAAGAATTCAGCTTTCACAAAGAGTACACTTATCAATTATATTGTTAATTTAAACTTATTTAAAATTGTTTAGTTAATCAGTAAATAAATGTTTTTGTCCATTGGAGAGTATTGATTTGTATTATTATATAACTTACGTTTGTTCAAGCTCCTAATAGCGATTTCCAAATTTTTTCTAATACATTCTGCAAAATCTTTGTCTTTTCTCGAACATCTTCCCCAAGTGTTTGCTGAAATTAAAAAAAAAAACAAATAAGTAGATACCTAGGTACTAATTAAATTGAATAAGTAATTATTCTAAAGTTTTCTTAACAAACGTTTTTCCATCTTTGTAAAGTGGGTAATTTCTGTGTCATTGTCAACATATTATTATCATCTTATTTGGAGTTATGCAAGTAGGTTTATTAGCCTTAGCAATTGTAGGTAATGAACCATGCAGGTCTATTTCAGGAAAATATTTAATCTTCGCACATTATATACGAAACAAGAGACATTGATGAAATGTGATAGGTAGGTACCTACTGAAAGATTATTGGAATTGGAGGGATTTTATGGAGGCTGTCATGCATGGAATTGAAAACATGAAAATTGCCCCTGACGTCATTAATCATTATCAAATTAGCCTGCGATCATGAACTTGTTTTTATAAAAAAAAAAAATTGTTAAAATATGTTGTCTTCAGCATCGAAATTTGGAGAAGAAAATTTTAGGAAATTTAAAGAGGGCCACAGGGCTAGAGTTTGTAATTTTTCGGAGAAAAACACAAAATGGGAATATGGTCCCATTGCAGAAACATTACATTATTTAATAAAACTGGATGATGGTCGTATATGGCGTAGACACGTTGACCATATTACAATCACACCGTACCGAAAAACACGATTAATGATCCTGCAGTTCTTTTGGAAGAGGATATAGATGGAGCCGTCCAAAATACCAATAATAATATTTACTCGACCATACAAGAAGTAAGAGATGAAGACATTCAATCCACTAGTACTACTCTACAAGAAGAATCTGATGAAGACATTCAGAAGACTAAATAAAAGGTTGATGTTACTGAGGAAAGGGAGATACAAGATCAGAATTCATCTATTCGACGACTTTCATGTCTTCAGCATCCGGTACTTTTGTACCTTTTACCTTTACCATATAACTGGTAAAAGTAGAGTTGGAAGTGTTGTCATTTTGTATAGTCAGTTTGTCATAATTGTTGAAAATATAGAGTAGTTGACTTGAAAAGTAAAGCATTATTACATACTTAAAATATTTATTATTTTTTTGACATAAGGACTAGAACTTGTGTGCATTTTTCTATTTGATGCAAGTCTGAATAAATGGAATTTTTCAGTAAAAGTTTCATTGACGAAATCATTTAATAACCAGGTTTCTAACAAAACAATCTTTTAGTTATTTAATTATAGTATTTTCTCATTAAAGTCTAGCTTCATGAATGGGTTTTACTACACTAGCATTAATAATAATTATTATTTTCATGACTTAATTTGAAATTCATTTACTTTGGTGGAAAATTTTTATGAAGTACCTGAATACTAAATACATATACAAGCCCTAAATGACATCTTAAACCAATCGGCTGTATAGTTTTGCAAAACTAAATTATATCAAAATTATGGATTTACTTTAATGAATTTTTAAAAAGCAATAATTATAAAACAAAACTCAAACAATTAATTATTGAAATAAATAAAAAATAATAATTCACTTACGTAATTTGGCCGCTTGAACCACCATCCCCAAACCCAACAAAACCCCAACGAAATACCAACTACTCGTCATTTTCTTTTTGTTTATATTAAACTATAAGCTCTTCTTAGGATTTCGAATCGTTAAATAACAAACCAATTCGTCCGCACGCACTCTTAAATATTGTCTTCGCTTTTCCAAATTTCCCCCTTCCACCGTGGTATCTTTTTCGCGTGATTATCAAGTACCCAGTGGTCAAGTTTAAAGTCAAGGTAACTTCTTCCGGGTGCCTTGGTTCTGGTTCGCGAAGACGTCATTTCAATTTGCTCTAATTGTACGGTGCACGGAATGTACTTTTTTTTTCTTTGTTTTGTTTGATGTACAAGGTAATTTTCTTTGAAGGCGAATTGTCTTTAAACCATGCATTTTGTTATTTGTGTAGGTATAATTAAAATTAAAAAGACCAAAAACTTTGAAAGATCATAACTACAATTCTGTTATAGATAGAAAGCTGAACTTTTCAGCGATTCTTATCCTAGTGGAGGACTACAATTCCTGAAAATTTCAGATCATTTGGATTTTTATAATATAAACAATGATAGAAAAAGAATAATTGGCTTACAATCGGATACCAAGAACACCATGCGCATAAAAGTGAAGATGGAAAAGAAGAACAATCGCTTCAGCTCTGTCAAGCTTCTGAAGCTCAAAGCAACAAGATCCTCAAGTGAAGACATAAATCATTAAGCAACGGAAAATAGAAAGTTTCAATTCTGGAAACATAAATATTATGTATATCGAAGAATTTGATATAGAATGCAAGAAACTGTATAGAAGAAAACAAGTCAACAGGTATACAGGGTGTTCCATAAGTCATGGTCCAAACTGTAAGGGGTGATATAAAGAAGATCATTGCCGATAAAAAAAACCTTATATGTTACTATACAATTCTTTACGGTTTTCAAGATATTCGAATTTTATTGATTTTAACGAACATGGTTACATTGGTTAAGAAAAAGAAATTTGCAAAAAAACCAACGAACCCATGATTGATTTTTTTTTTTTTTAATTATGAGCAGGAATGTCTGTCTGTAAGTTTTTATGAGTATGTGAAATTTTGTCTTTTTACTAAAGAACTTGACGGGAGTTTTCCTCTTCTTGTAACAATGACAATTCAGACACTCAGAAAATAGTTCAATAGAAGAAACACTACACAGAAGATCCCAATCCCCATTATATTGGCGCCCAACGTATCGTTCTTTTAAGAATAGTGTTTTCCTGTGTTTAGACTGTCTTGAAGTGTTTTTCGCGTGAACTCGACACTGTTTCAGTTCAGTTTGTAACATTATTCAATTGCTAAAGAGACATTATATTATTTGAACACTGGTAAAATCGGTGTCATTTTATTTTTATGGGGTCCAGTCGGTCCAGAAAAAAACGAAGAGTTATAATGCCTGGTAGTGATGATACTGGCGGCATTATAGGAGCCCAAGTTCAAAAATTGTGATGACACCTGAAATATTATACTTCAAATCTTGCTAGCTGGTATACAAAGTTTCAATGTTGGTAATCAGCAGGTAACAGCTCCTGTACAAAACGTAAGTACAGCAAATTTGTCAGCTTGTCACGTTTTGATGGTCATACCGATGTTAAAGCGTTAATTGATGCTATTACTGTCTACAAAGACTGATTACAACATTAAAGATGCTCGCGCAATAAAAGGACTATCCATGCTTTTAATTGATTTCGCTGATACATGGTGGCAAGGCATAAAATCTTCAATAGATACATTTGATGAAGCTATTGATGATTTGCATCATCTTTCGGATATTTCAACCTCCGCCACCAGATTTATAGAGAACTTTTTTCATGTCCACAAGCTGATGAAAATACTTACTGATATTTTTGTTAGTAAATTCAGAGCTCTTCTATCATAGTTAAAAGTAGATTCAACTATTTCTGAGCATGCATAGGGCACAATGGTATATGGACTTCTAAATATACGCATTAAAGATAAAGTTCAATGGGGTAAAATTAACACTTTCAAGGATTTCATAGGAAAAGCTAGAGTTGTCGAACAAACATTATTTGATAATATCGCTAATGCAAAAACTAAGCAAAATATTCAATTCAACGATCCTATTACAGAATTATCACATAATTCAAAAGTTCAGTGTGTATATTGTAGAAATTTTGGTCATGGTAAAGAAAATTGTAGAAAATTAGCTTACAAAAATGCTCAGTCTGAAACTCAAAAAAATTCCAATGAATCTTCTATCAGACTACCTGCAATTATCTTGAATAGGAATTCTAAGCAAAATCTAAGTGTCGCAAATACTTCTAGTTTGATGTGTTATGGTTGCAAGAAGCGTGGTTTTATAAAAACTAATTGTCCCAACTGTTCGAAGACTACCGAGACTTGTCACTGAAAAAACAGCTCCACTTACCTCAAGGTATTCAGTGATCTTGAAATAAATTATCTTATGTGAAGAGTTAATCTACTGCATGAAGAAAAATTACTTTGTGTTGAGAATTTCGTGGTTCTTGATATTTTTTAAAATTACTCTTGAATGACATTTCTTTCAGGCGAAATTATATTCTCTTATACCAAGAATAATCTTTTATTGCATAATTGTTAAACTCCTTGTTATTTGGGCCAAGAATCTTGTTTTTTGATGGAATATTCCAAAATCTTATTCAAAATTCAAGTTTCTGCCGATGCCCTCCAACCCAGTTGTATAGTGTCTAGCAGTATAGTGTAACGTACTGCCCACGACCTACTCGGACGTGTGACTACTTTTCAGTTTGAACAGTTATATCCCGTTTCCTATGGTGTTGCCCAGGATATGAGTGCGTCAACGTCAGGGGACCAAAATTATCTTGCAATCCTGTTTGGAAAATACTTGTGATGGCCCCAATACAAGAATTTTTGGAGGCAAACAAGTTGTCCCACTACTCCCACTTGTTGGAAAAGTTTGAAGGTATATAATATAATGTAAATTTTACAAGTAGGTAGTAGGTATACCTAATAATTATGTTTCCAATTAAGCGGTTTTATTTATTTAAATTGTAATAATATAATGATTTTTTAGTCAGTGGGCCAATATTTTGTAAAAATTATATGAATTCTTAGGCTAATAAATATTTTCAATAATAAACAAAATCTGATGTTTCTTTATGACTAATAATCCTATCATCAAATACCTATGGATTTTAGGCAAAAAATTCTCATCTTCACTCAAGCGCTGATGACCTCTAGTGAAAAAATTGAGATCTTCAGTTAAGTCCTTTGATCTTCAATAGAATCGAATAAATTTCTTGGAACAAGAAAATTGGAAAATTAAGTACCTTGGGACAAGGAAATTGTGTTCAATACATTGGGATAGTGTTCTTGAGACAAGAACTTATTTCTTTCCAGTAAAGTATTCGAACAATCCTATGACAAGAAAACATTTAACTTTTTTGAAGAGAATATTCACTTGGCCATATCCAAAGTCGCAATTTCATTGAATAAAGGGCGTATTACTTTGAATTGAGGAATCCTTTTTTTCAGTGTGCCCTTTCCCCTTTCCTCAGAATTTCATACTATAACAGCAGATAATTTGTTTTTTCCTAATTTTTGCAGTCGATTTTTAACTTATGTTACTATACAACGTCACCATGGCTTAACTCATCTTGATTCTGGTGCACAATCAAGTATTACTGATGCTAAATTGAGTAAAATTCTGCTTGAAGATGATATACCCTATACCCTATATAAAGAGAGAACTGGAAGTGACTCTTGCTGATAGAGAATTCATATTTGTCTCATTTCTATTCCAGAGCATCATAACAACAGAACACTTCTTGGCACAGATTTTTTGAACCTAGTGAGGATACGCCCAATGATTCCTGGTTTTATGGTGATTCTCCTGGCATTAAATATTTCTTTATTTCTGATAATGTCGCTATTAATAATTTAGAAACCTCCGATGCGACCTGATGAAGGACATAACCTTTCTCCTGAACAAGAGGATATTCTTCAAAAATTACTTCAAATTAATTTACTTGCTTTTAAATCTACTAGTCAGCCTACTCCTTTTGCAGAACATTCTATTAATCTCATAGATGAAACTCTAATTTCTGTACCTCCGTATCGCATGTCTGGAATCAGAAAAGAACAATTGCAAGAAGAAATTGATAAACTCTTAGCCGATGGATCAATAGAAGATTGCGGGTCTCCATATGCTGCTCCTGTGGTTCTTGTTCCAAAGAAAGATTACCAGAGTCAAGATAGCATTATTTGACCTAGACAAAAATAATATGAAGCTGATTTTTGGTAGAGATCATGCCTGAGGGCTAAATTGCAATATACTAATGGCCGTTTCCACCAACTATTTTAGGGGAGCCTTAACGATAAGTATTCCTTAAACTGACAGTTTTCCTTGGAGCAATGTCAATTTAGGGAATACTTATCGTTAAGGCTTCCCTAAAATAGTTGGTGGAAACGGCCATAGAAGTCCTGGCCAATCCTCCTTCCGCAACCCCCTTTTTTCGCCCCCTAGCCCCCACCTTTTTAATGTTTTGATGATTTTCTCGAAAACTATCCACTTTAAGGAAAAATGTAGAGAAAGCTTTTTTGAAACTGACAAAATTTCCCTTGCAATGATGTATTGTGAGCCCATATTGTGCGACGTCGTACGCACCAGTGGCGTATCAAATGAAGGGTTACTTTTGAAAAATATACTGTTTGCTATTTATTCTCAGTTTTTTTGATTTAAGCATAATTTTTGTAGAAGATACATATTTTTCTCTGAAACGACCATTGAAAAGTAGTCTACTTGCGAATCTATAACAAGTTTATCGCAATCACTTCAGCCAAAAAAAAAAATTAGAAGTTTATCGGAGACGTCTCAGCTATCAATTTGCCAAATAACAGGTGCGCCTAACGCCTTGCGCGACGTTGAGGTAGGTAAAGGCCGGTATGGTTTATTAGGATCAATGAACTATAACCAAAAACTGGAATTCTAACACATAAGGACGAACGTGAAGCCTAGTGCAGCTGCTGCGGAGGGGATACCTGTTTTTGTCGCACTCATTATGTTAAATGGCGAAAATTGCTTCCAACACGTATTCCAATTGATGAAACCTATGAAGGGAAATATGACAAAACTTTCGAAAACGT